AACAAGACAGTTAGGAAATGTACCTAAAATCATGCTCAGCGCTGTAAAATCTATATAGTGATCTTAATGGAATCGATGAGAATACAAGAGGAGGAGAACAAAAGACAACAGAAAGTAAAACACTGGACATTGTGAGGTAAGAACATTGTCATTGACAGGCACAACTGTGTAAAAAAAAAAAGAGAGAGCTTTGAGCTACTCACTGAGGCAGTCTATATTATTAGTATTTAGGTTCAGAACCACTTCTTGCAAGTCAATTTTGTGCTTCTGCTATGTATACCCACAAAAGTTACCCTCGACAGTAATATATGCTAAGTTACCAAAATCTACCTATAATCATTCATGTTAAGAAAATCAGTGTTTACTACTTTTGTAGTATCAGGCTGGGGACTGCATTAAGCTACTTTCCTGATTAAAAGGCAGACATCCACCAGTATAATTATGCAAAAGTATGCTGCCAGTTGTTTATGTTGCATTTTCATTAACTTAATTCACCAAATAACAGAATCACAGTCAATCGGCAAAACAGAGCTGTGAAGGGCAACAAGACCTTCTAGTCAGATATGATTGCCTTTATCAAAGGGAGGTCTCTAAATGCTTCTAGCTGAATATTTTTCTCTAATAAACCTCTGCACTGTGAGTTTGGAAATTATTTCTGTAATGTTACATGAAGACAAAACAGAAAGAGATTTATTTCTTTTAAGCTAAATATGGAAAGTTAAATGGGAGTTTAAGTGTGCCTGTATAAAAACAGTCTTTGATCATTGATGATCTACGTCAAGTGCTTAATGAGCTACACATGATGTGCATATTAAAAAGCTTGATCATTAATATGTAGAAGTAGAGCAAAAGGTCAACTTAGTCAGGTATGCTTTGTTGAATGGTTGCTGCTAATGAGTCTACCGAATACCAATTACCTCTGTAATTTGGCTATGACCTTAGTGAGAAGTGGTGGTGAGGCATGAAAGCGTCCAGAGCCTGTAACAAAGACAAAATGAAACGGTTCAAAGAAGGGAAGTGAGTAAAATGAATGCGTCAGCAGAGTGACTGTTTCCGAATGTGTTTCATCCAGTAAACACCAGTTTGCTGACTGTGATTCTCATCCCTCACAGGGCTGTGGCTCCTTGATAAATACATCATGGTTCACAGCCAGCTTGTAGTATAGACGCATCATTTAATCCCTGTAGAGCAAAGTCACATACATAGATTTCAAACACACAGCAGGTGTCACCTAAAAGTCAACCTCTACATTAATATTGTGACTTCTGCAAGCTGAAATTTAGAATCAAAGTATAAGGATCCGTTTTGGGAAATAATCTTTTCATTTCCCACAGAGTGTAATGTTTGCCTTAATCATAAAAACACAGGATTGTGTTAAACCATGATCTTGTTTTTTTCTTGTCACATTTCATTCTCCTTGCACTACGGTTAAATTGAAATGCCAAAATAAAACAAATAGATATGATTATCTGCAATGCATGCTGCGATTAGAGCTGTAGAAACTTAATGGACAACAAGCATTTCTTTCAAATCTATATTCACTAAATGGGCTGTCTCATTAGTTTCTTTGATGTCCATGTTAGCACCATTAATTTGTTCCACTGTGTTTGCCAAGTCAGCCTCAGTGTTGCCAGGGAGTATTTTCAAATCAATGAGAAATGGAAGTTTATATGCTGACCTTGTTTTGACTTGATTTGAGACACCTCTGAGAACAGATAACATATACAGAGTTGAGACTTGAATTTGATCACTAAAACACATTTCTGATATTTTGCAGGCCCATATATAAGGTAGTCAAGTTTTCCTTTGGATCATGCTGTTTTCTAAAGATCTGATTATTTAATAAACATCACTGCATTAAAAAGTAGAAAATTCTTCTAAAATTTAAATTAGTATCAGGCTTAGACAAGAGAAAGTCTATTTCTCGAGACTTGTGAGCTGAATTTAAGACGTGCGAGAAAATGGTCAAAATATATTCAAATTCAAATTAGCTTTATTGACATGAATGTATAGCAACAATATTGCAAAAGCTATATATAAAGTACATAAGGACAATGAATTTCATACATTTCATTATATTGATATTAAAGTGAGCTCAGTTATGTCTAGGAGAAACATGCTGGACAAAGAAGAGACGTTAGAATTTTCAATCGAATGTGAAGATTAAGCCAGAAAAGGCCAGATGTGTTTGCCGTTTTTGGCTTTTAGTTTTACTTCAAAGCCTTGGAAGTTGATAAATAGACTAGACCTTTGTCCTTCTTTGGAGAATCATTACTTTTGAAGTGATACTAGATGTGGTATCAATCAAATGTTGTGCTCCTTCACGCCAAATAATCTCATTACCACATGTAATTAGGTTTAATGTTGATGTAATGTTCACTCTGCGCACAGCATTGTGGGACAATAGTGTCCCTCAAGAACCCTCTCATTAAATGAATGATGATGATACTGAGAGGAAAAAGTAATGTAAATATTGTCCGTTTTTCAGTTGTTACATGTTGTTGAGTTGAAGTGCACCGCACTGTTGTTGCCAGAGAGGAACAAGCTGATCGAAATGAAATAAATGCAGCAAACAAACTATCATTATATTCCTTACCGAACAGAATTTATATTGTACTTTTTATGTTGTGGAGGACTAATACTCTGTGGAACAATGAGAGAACAATGCCCATTTTTGTGACAGTGTGATAACTGCAGTACAGCTCTTGGTAAACATCTAGCACAGCTCTCCAGAAGGAAATTACCATGGCTGAATCACATTTCGGGAGTGTGTCAGCTGCTATCAGATGCAGAATAATTGAACGAGCTCCGATATGAATTGAAATTTGAACTGAACATTTAATAAACCAGCATCTCTAAGTATCACTCAGGATTCCCTCAAAATGAACACTTGAAATACTATACATGACATTAGAATGTTTTATTTCTCATGTCTCAACCGTAATACAATGAACTGGTACAGAAGTGTTAACCTTATTTTACTGCAGTGCGTGCTTCACTGACAGCTGGACCTGCAGTGTAGGACAGTAACTGGTGAGTGTTGTTAAAGTTTAAGTTACGTTTGTGTTTTGGTCGTACAGAGGCAGAGCAACCTGGTGTATTTGATTTAATCAAGAGTAATTGTTTCAGTATACCTACTTAATTTTTCAGATGTTTAATTATTTCAGTTTGAAAGAGAAAAAAAACTTTGGCTTGGCTTTGTGTCCAAAAACCATACAGATACATTACAACACTAATTTTTTCACACAATTTATATCTATTTCCCAAAAAGTTACACATATGGGCTATAAGATAAAGCAACATCTTTATTTTTAGTCTTTCTGAGAATGTGTTTGTGCTACACCAGTTTACAGTTTGTACACAGGACACAGTATCCGGATTTGCACATATATTGACAAGAGTGCTGTGAGCATATGTCAAAGCATAATTTTACTCCTATTTTTTTTCCATTTTATATTTGACTAACAGCTTAGGATACAGACCAGATGCCAAATCTTTATATTGCTTTGGGGAAAAAGGAATGTATTTTAATTTCAGACTCATACTTGACTCATAGAGAGGTGTGGGGTCTGTGCAGAATAAGCTAGTGTGGAAGTATCTGTCACATTGGCATGTAAAGTTTACATCTGATCTCTGTTCTGCTCTGTGTGTGTGTGTGTGTGTGTGTGTGTGTGTGTGTGTGTCTGTGTGTGTGTGTGTGTGTGTGTTTGTGTGTGTGAAACAGTGGAGTTTAATTCTCACGTCTAAAATAACAATACCATGAATGGTATTTCTGGTATTTTTCAAAAGCCTGGACACAAAGGAACAAAGCTGATAGAAAACCAAGTAAAACCAAAAAGTACAGCCTAGACCTGCTCTCTATAAAAAGTGCAATGAGATAATTTGTGCTATGACTTGGCACTCTGGCGCTACATAAATAAAAATGAATTGAATAGAATAAAAAGATGTATTTATACTAAATGAAAGAAGAATAAAAATATTGAATAGTAATTTGTAAAATTTAGAAGATAATCATCAAAACTGCATAAGAATGAAGATAAATGATCAGGCTTAAGTAGAGCATTTGTTGACAGGTAAGCATCCTTACATTTGTCACATTTACTGAAAGAATCAGTTAACCCATCCAGTCTAGTTTTGCATCTATCGTGATAAATCCGATTCAGCATCTTCAGACTGCAGCTCTGGCTAAAGCAAATATCATTCATAATGGTAACAATGCTGGCATTTTGAAGTGTCAAATGAAAGTGCATTCCTGGATATCTGCTGACATCTCCTGGTGCAAATGCAAATTGCCAATCTGCTTAGATCTAATCAAGGCAGGCAGAAAGGCATTTGGGTATACTGTAGGTATGTAGTTTTACCAAATACAACCTGAATCTGTTCCTGTTTCAACTTTCCACATTAGGCCTAAACTGCAACGTGAATATCCACATGACTGCCTGATAAACTGGCAATAACACTAGTGAAATGGCTTACAAATTAATTCTGGTCTTCCTCTGGTGTTGTGTTTCACGGCCAGTGGGTGGCAGCAAAGCTCCATCATGCTGAGTTTCTTTTTTTTAGCAGCCTGTGTTGCCATGTCCGTTTATTAAAAGCCACTTTGCTTTTCCAAAATGCTGCCTGTTTTTACTACAGGCAGTTTCCTTGTTGGACATGTTAAGCCTCTATTTGAATTACCTGGGTTTATCTGTCTGCTCACTAGAGCACAAAGACCAGAGATAAAATAAAAAATGTCAACTTCACAGACTTCTACTTCCATAGCGCAGGTCAGAAATCGGTCGATGTCATCAGTTACAAATTAATTACAAACACAATTAAGTCCATCTTCCAGTGGATCTTTTTCAATGTGCATACACATTATTTCATTGTAGAGTCCAAGGTGCTTACCCTATAAACAGACAGCGTGGAGCACAGTCCTGCTATTTGCCATAAAAATCTGATTCACTCTGGCTCATTAAGTACGAGTTTGTTTGATAGCCTACCCGTATTCCTCGAGATATCTGGCAACTCCGCGAGCAGTCAGACTTCTGTCAGCCCGTCAGGAAACAGACTGGCAGTCTTCTGTCACCCGCGGAAATGTTTAAAACAGACGAACTAAAAGCTTTGGTCAGTGAGCGATTGACAGCCGCTGCTGAGGAAATATTCAGCATCTTTGAAAAAAGTATTAAGGAATATGAGGAGATCGTTTTTCTTTCAAAGCAGGAGATCAAGCATCAGCGACAACTGGCCGGGTGGAAAGGTAAATGTTAAACTGGGGATCTAGATCTCTGATTTAATCACAATAGCGTATGGTAAGATGTACTGGGGTCTTCAGTCTTCTGGGCCACTCCCTATAAACTCAGTCCCTTACACAGGAGACAACCTAGCGCCATTTCGCATCCCTGAATGGGGGGAGGGGGATGCAAAATGGCTGTTTGGCTATATGTGCCACACAACGGTCCTCTTGTAGAAACTGCCTGAAAGCATTTTAAACCTCTTACCACCTCTTCTACCTCATTTCAGCTTCTTTTGTGGGATAGTTAGTCTTAGAAAAAGGGTTGAACTGAGTAAAGCAAAAGCTTGTTGGATGAGTTTATTTGCTACGTAATTAACCGTCATTATGAAGTGACCCTGTCACAAGTCAACAATATGCCTCATTACAAGTGCAAGTGTTTACGCAAGTCCAAAAAAAAATCCCCTGTGCTGCTTTAACACATTTCATTTTAACCATAAATGGTGGCTATACCGTAAGATACCTGCTCCTCTGGCATATTTGGCAATAACATTAAGGTCTAGGCCACAGTGGGGTTAAACCCCCATAATGAAAAAAAGCTTTGTTTAGAGGAACTGTCTGTCAAAGGCAGACTTCACTGTATCTGGTCTCCTCTTCTTTACAATTGGGGTTGCAAGCAAAGGCAGTGGATTCCCCCAAAGACATGTAGAATATTTTTTACATTATTGTTTTAGATTATGTTTAATCTAATTTAGGGGGAGCAACAGACGTTCATGTAGGGATTGTTGTTTGGGCATTGGCAAATTTATATTTGTTTTCACAGAAGCAAATGGGACAGCTTCTTAAATTACAGGCTTGATTACACATCTCTCCATATAACAGGAAGTGGAAATTAAAATGATTTCCCAAGATGTCTTTTTGTTTTTCTGCTTCATGTTGGACCTGTTATACTTGTTAATGTAGCTGTAGCTAATAAGTGCATGCAGTTTTACAGTGCAGAAGGAAATCACGATGGATGTCATAATCTTTGTTTTTACCTCCAATAAGTAGCTATGATGCATTTTATTGCATGTGTCTGTGGTGAAACAACCATGAAACCTATGAAAATACTACAAGCAAAACTGACATTTAACCACCTTTATCTCTCAAATTCCCCACTGCATCAAACACATAATGAACCGTGATCCCATAACTTAAAACATACAAAATAAGTGCTGGGACGAAGCTGACTTCTTGGCTTTGAGATTATTGCATTTGTTAGTTCATCTGTGTTTATGCTGATAGGTGCACACTTTATTTATTTCACTAAAAAGTAGCCATTAAAACATAAGTGTCATTGCACCTGTTGAGATTTTTATATAAATGGTTCATGTTCATGTTCTGACTGTCTTGTCTAGCTCCCTGTTGAAATGATTTCTTTTGTCTTGTGTGATACTGTCCAGCCCCCTTGCAGCTCTCTGTCCAGAAAGAGGAAACTCCCTCTGAGCAGGATCACTGTGAGAAGAAGACAGAGCTGAGCGAGAATGACCGGGAGCCCCCGCAGATTAAACAAGAACAGGAGGAGAAACCGTTGACAGCTCAGACAGGTGAAAAGCCGGAAGACCCTGATACTAAAGACTCTGTGTTCAATATAATTTATGTACAACGAAGTGATGAAGATGCAAGACTGTTTCCACATCAAAACCAAGACGTTGAAAATGAAGGAGACTGTTTGCCCAGCAACTCATCTGAACAGTTTAAATCAGAGCCTGATAAAGAAGAAGGCTGTTGTGCATCAGAGCCAGCCAGCGACTGTCAGATGAGTGACGTGAGTGATGATGAATGGAGAGACAGTGGAGGATTTCACTCGGGGCTAAACAGGAAGAAACCACGGCAAGCTGGTGAGACCGCAGACAGGCCGCACACGTGCAGTATTTGCAACAAGAATTTCAGGATCAAATCCATTCTGACCCGCCACATGAAGACACACACGGGAGAGAAACCTTACAGCTGCAGTGTCTGTGGTAAAAGCTTCATCCAGCGCTCCTATCTGCAGACTCACATGAACTCTCACTCTGGGCAGAAACCGTACACGTGTAGTTTCTGTGGCAAAGGGTTCACGCAGTGTGGAAACATGAACACCCACAAACGAATCCACACGGGAGAGAAACCTCACAGATGTACTGACTGTGGTAAAAGCTTCAGAGAGAAAGGTGATCTTATCAAGCACACAATAATTCACACTGGCGAGAAACCCTACATTTGCACTGTATGTAATATGAAATTCAGCGCTCAGTCTAATCTGACGCGCCACATGAAGACTCATTCAGGGGAGAGGCCGTATAGTTGCACTGCTTGTGGGAAAAGATTCATTCGCCGCTCCCATTTAATCATTCACATGAAGACTCACGCAGGAGAGAATCTCTAGACTTGAGATTTGCTCCATGGTATGTAAAATGTATGAATGAACCAAACCTTGGACAAACCAGTGTCTCTATAAGTTGTTGCTATATAGTTTTGTAGTATAGAATAAAGTAAACAGCAAGTTGTAATATTGTATGTTTCTCCAAGTGACAACCATTTGTGTCGAGTGATTAAATTTCTGTTGAAATAGACAAAGTACTTAGTTTGTCAGTGATGCCCTTTCCAGTATTCATGGATGATATGGATATATAGTTTCTCAAGACTTTCCAACTTCTCCACCTCTGTCCGTCTCAGCCCCAAGAAACGTAATTCCTATTGAAGATGTAAACTTTTAAAACCAGTCACAAATTTGTAGTTTCATTTTTAAAAGGTGACGGTCTCTCTGTTATCCCAGTGCTGTATAGCCAGCAGTTACTGCACAATTAGACAGACAGTACACCATAAATTCTACGAATCACATTGAGTTATTTAAAAGGCCAATGGCAGCAGGGACAAACAAGCACCATGAACTCCTTGGACAGGGGGTGGCTAGGATCAGCCAGGACTGACTGGGCTTTGCTCAAAGTCCTAACTCTATACAGATGAAGAAGGTCTTTCACGATCGTCCCTGCAATTTTGCTGCACAACCTGTAGTCTTTCTGTTTTTGAGGGTTGGTGATCCCAACCAGCTGACAAAGGAAAATGTGAGGACTGATTCAATAAAACATTTTCATAAAAGTATTGTCAACTTTAAAACTTTGAAGCTTATAATAAAATATACTCGCTGATGGGCTTTTTTACACATCCACATGAAGCCTGAGGGTCAGATTGAGGTCGATTGTACTGCTGCACAAACTCAGCAGGCTGATCATTAATCACCACAGGAGAGATGACCATAGGATTCTCTCTAAAATCTATTGGACAGATCAATAATTTCCTAAAACATTTCGGCAACCTAGTTTTTGGAAAATGCTACCCAAACAAGAGTAGCCTACATAGTGTGGGAGTATTTTGCGATGTAGATCTTGTGTATTTCCAGCAGCAGGAAGTAAGTGCCCATGTTCAGAGTAATGAAGGAACATGTCAGTACAGACAAATAGGATATATCAGGCTTTTGCTTGCTATAGGCAAGAGTTGTTATTGGGATCAAGTCATTGTTTGAGAGTTTCATGGAACAGTGTAATAACACTGATACACCGATACCTCTTTCCTCCTCCTTACAGTCCCCTGTGCTCCTAAGAGAATCTTAAGTCGCGTATCCACCAAAAGTACCCAGGACTTTTAGTCCCAGGCTCTACTTTCCAAGAAACTAAAAGTTTCAGCCCCTTGCTGTGTGCATTTCCACCGCGGTCTAAAGACCTGCGAAGATTATTAAACTCGTCCCTCCTCTGGCTCCCAGGCTAACTGCCCTCTCCAGCCCGACAGCCTGTCGACTCCTTCACTTCCCCCTCCCCTGCCTGTAACCTCTACAGTGTGCCTCACAGCTGACCCGGTGAGAAGACAGCTGATGAAACTCCACTCGAACACGGCTGCAGGCCTGTGGCATTGACTTCCCATATAATGAAGACCCTGGAGAGACTGGTGCTGGAACAGTTACGGCCTATGATCAGACCTCTCCTGGACCCCCTCCAGTTAGCCATCCGGCCCCGACTGGGAGTTCAGGACGGCATTTTTTTTTTTCTTCATAATTGCATCTACGCCCACCTGGACAATCCAGTGCTTTCAACACCACCCGGGTGAGAAGCTGACAGTGATGCAGGTGGTCTGTCGGTGGTGTCAGTGGGGAGGATGCTGTCCAAACTCATCTTGGACTCATGCCTCCAAAATGTACCACAGAGCGCCAGAGAAAGTCATTGCAAATACGCAATATTCTCTGTTTTAATTCTTAATGTGCTGATGGTTACTCTGTCCTACTACTGTAGCGTTTAAGGATTTTAAGAAAGTATCAGTTTCACAGTTTCCTCCAGGTGAACATTCTTGGAAGACAGAATTAAGTACTAAAGATTTTACTTTAATAATTATTTTCTCCCCGATAATAACAAGTCTGCATTTAAGAATGACATTTAGAGATCCATCATCTATTATTATAACTAAAATTTTTGTAAAAACATGTTGACCTTTTCCACCAATAGACATTTTTAGATTTTCTCTTAGAAGTGTGTGTGTGTGTGTGTGTGTGAAGTTGGTCATACACAAAGAAATTCAATTAATACTTCACATAGCAGCTGCTTTGAAATTAAGAAGGAGTAATAACTTTAAATAGAAGCCAGATTCTCTCCATGTTATTCATTAAAGCAGGGCTATTCAATTACAATTTCATTTGGGCCAGATTTTAAAACCAAGACACAGAGATGGGACATTTTCTCACGAGTTGGGAAGGGTATCATTAGGAATATGACACACTTGTATTGGTACTCCTTATTGGTTCAGGGTTTTTTTTTATTATTGATGCTCTTATCAGTCCCATGTGTTACTAAATAAATGCCTTTGAAAAAACATTTTATTTGAAAAAATAATTTAATATTTTTTAATAAACAAAATGTTGTTTCTAGAGCAGCAACAGGATTCACAACAGAATGGTCACTAATATCTCACTGAAAACAATAAAATCAGTAAAATCAATCATATTTCTGACATCAACATACTGACTGAAATTTAGAAAGAATAGAAAAAGAACCTGTCCTTCTCCTTCTCCTCCCTCTGCTGCTGCAGGTAAAGAGGAGGGCTGATCTGTCTCCAGTTTACTCCAACTAACTAAGCTAAACAGTTACTAAAGACAGACAGCTTTCGCTTTAGCTTGTTTGTAACAATAAGCTGAACTAGCGCTGTGCCTGTGTAAAACCAAAACACAGCTGCAGTGGATGAGAGACTGAGCAGATTAAAACAGGTGTGTTGGTGAAGTATCGGCTTTTCACTCGCGAAGCTTTTATTGCACCACGTAGCTTAATAAACGAGCGTAGTTACGCAGGCTAATGTCCGCTCATCAGCTGGCTGACTTCGCTCAGTGTGCGCGTGTATGTGTGTGTGAAGTGGAGGCGCTCTGCAGAGAAACAGGAGGGGAGAGACTGCAGGTCGGACAGTTAGTGTTGAGCCTTGATTGGCGGTGATCGGTACATGTGAAACTCAACAGAGGAGAATGACACGATATAGCTCACTCTTCACCTACTTCCATACACTTTACATGTAACGTTAGTTTAATTTTGTTGTCATATCAGATTATTTGCTGGGCCACATGGAGGGCCGGATGTAGACTGCATTAAAGTCTTTCAACCAGCACTCTGGAACCTGAGCAGGAAAAGACCTACCTACAGCACATGAGATACTTATTGTCTTTGTCATTGCCATTGTCTTTGAAGAATTTATTAATAAAAGAGAATGAACAGAGAAGTACTAAAACACATACAGCAGAGACCAGCTGCAGCTTCGGGCGTCTGGCCCTGAGCAAAGGGATGCATAATCATTTACACAGTCTACAGAGATCCTCTTTCAGCCTTTAATGAACATTCCATGAGAGGAGAGGAACAACAAGAGAGGAAAACACCAAACAATCTCACAGCCCTGACGTGAACCCTAGTAAATGTGGATGGACTAACATAAGGAGTATAGGAGAGGGAAAGGTTAAGGATAAAAACACAATACATATACTGGATATCTATAAGACATAACAATAATAGTAATAATAATAATATTAAAAGACCATACATAAGAGATTAAATGCAAGAGGACACAATGTTCTGCCATAACACACACTTACACATGAAAATGTAATAACTTTCTAATATGTATTATGCTGTAGTGGTATATTAATTTATTATTCACTGTGTCTGTGCTGTTTGGTTTAATCTATCTTCCGTATATCATGTTTATTTCTGTAAATTGTAAATGTGATAGTAAATAGTTGCAATTTAGTGAAACCAAAAGAAAAATGTTGCTTATTGGTGAGCCGATGCAAAACGTTGTGAGATTGAACTCGTCTTTAGTGTTTTAGCGGAAGTGCGCCTGATGTCATTTCCGTTGCGCGAAGCTGAAACCTTGGCGCGCCAAACGTTTAAGCATCTTAGAGACACTGGAAGAGACAACCGTCGAGATGACCACAAACATTAAAATGCTCCGGTAGTTTTCACGGGAAAGGCTAACGCTGTTCGGTTAGTATATGATCTCAAGGTCGTGAAGATACACAGTCGTTCAAAATGAAGCAAACTCTCTTCGGATCGCTGTAACGTTAGCTGATGCTGGTGAGGTTAACTTTCCGTTGTCACCGTTGTCGGTTTTTTATCCAGAAAAACATCGCCAATTAACAGCTCATTTACCTCTGGAAGAAGGAGTAAACGCACATAAATACAAACACCTGCCTGTGTTTTAATCAAGAGTCACCATGAACAGAACTAAACTGAAGAAAACCAAGGTGAGTTCAGAAGGTTTTACTAGCTGTTGTTTGTTTTATCTTACAAAACCAGTAGGGGGATTTAAAAGTAACTACGCCTTTAATGGGGAGCTGTAACGTTAACCGTTAAATGTCTGCCACTTGTCAACATGTCAGCAGTCTCTCATTAACTCAGCTGTGTGTCTGTCTGGTTTGATTGATTTTTGAACAACGTAGGATATCAGAAACAGAAAACAGCGCATTCATACATTCAAAAAAATCTAAAAAATTATGTTTCACACAACTGATGTTTTAAATGGCATTTCAGGTAAATATGTAACCTGTGTATGCCGGTATCTAAATGATACAGATTTATTGCTGTTAACGGAGAACAAATGCATGGTAACTTGTGAACCCCGCAGTCTCTTCTACAGTCTAATATCAAATTTGCTGCAGCCATTTGAAACAAGAGACTCTGCTTTAACTTTAAGTGTCTTGTTGGACAACAAACAAAAAGTGCAAATGCCAGTAAATGTTTGCTTTGTGGTTTCTGTCAGGCACCAGGAGGCCAGAAGAACATATCATCCTTCTTTTCCCCTCAAAACCAACAGAAGGTACATTGGGTTATATTTTTCTGTCTGTCTCTTTGCTTTTTTCCTTATTTCTCCTAAGCCTTGACATGACATGTTGTCAAAATCCCGTCCCGTGTTCTTCATGCCATTATTGATAAATTAGTCAGATGGAACTTTTGAGAGATAATTATTAGAAATGTGTATGTAATGGTCAAGCACATTGAGGTAAATACTGTTCATTTCACCCAGTAAAAACAATCAGATAAGCTCAGAAAATTAAAGTACTTAATTGTTAATTGCCATAATACAGCCTTTATGAACATGACAAGACAACATATATAACCATATAAGGATAACAAAATTAAAAATTACTTTCTAATTCCTCTGTGCTTTTTGTTTTGTGTTGGCGGCACACTATTTTGTCACTCTCATTACATTCCATCATATTGTTTTTAGTTAACGCGTTTCTGTATAAATGTATTTGATCTTCTTATGCGTATATTATCTTCTATTATTTCCTCACTAGTCTCTTTTCTGTTTTTCTGTATTTTTAGTTTGGGTTATTTTTCTTTTAATCTGTTTCTATTCTGCTGTAATGCACTTAGGGCTGCGCAGTAAAACAATAATAATTATTGCAACATAATTTTCCTCAGTAACAATATAACAAATACATTTTAATAAATGTTCAATACATTTTTTATTTAATTCATTTGAATCACGAATGAATTGGCACTTCATTTTCTAAATATCTATTAAGATACTTATTTTGTTGAGAAAAAGGGACTGAAAAAAGATATTACTGCATTTTACTCATGCATATTTGTTGAAAAACGATTTGTTAAGTAATCCGCTCTCTGAATATAAAGAAAAGTTTAAAACCACAATTAACCATCTGGTTTCTTCATCTTTTACTTGGGAGCAAAAATCAGCCTTTAGTATAATATCTAATGATGTTAAATATTTTATCATGATCGACATTTTGGGGCATATTGCCAACCCCTAAATGCCCTATTGCATTTCTCTCTCATTTACATTAACACTTAACCACACAAAGTTGTTTAAGTTTTGTATGGAAATACTCATTTGACTGTGTTGCTTTTAGGACTTTTCATCTTCCACAAAGCTATGCGTCACTGGCACTGAACTCTCCAAGACTGAACCTCAGATCAAACATGGTGAAACCTCCACGTTCAGACCCCATTCCCCCTTAAAGAGGAGTATCCTTGGGGACCTTGAAAACCTCCCCCCCTCCTCGCCAGATTTTCTCCTCACTGTGCCTGAGACTCCCAACAGTCAGATCAGGCTTGCTTCCTCTACTTCCTCCAGAGATCCGGGTGGACTGAGCCCCCAGCCCAGCAGAGAGGTAGCGAGCCTGGAGATGTTCGGCCAACTGTCCCCCATCTGCCGTAGTCCCCGCTCCAAAGGACAGAGTGTACGAAGAGCAACGGCCAAGGAGGGAGGGAAAACCAAGAGAGAAGAGGGATTTTCTACCTCCCTAAAAAGACTCTTCAGCCCTCCTCAAGAGTCGCACAATGCCAAGAGACCAAGGACTGCCAATCCACTGGCACAAAGAAATGCGCTCAGCCCCACTGGTAGCAACCTCAAAGTAACAAGGCCTGTGATTGGCCCTGTGAAGACACCTCATTTCCCCACTGACCAGTCAGAGGGTCACAGCAGAGATACTGAAGCGGTCATTAATGGCAACAAACACAAAACGATGTCACTGAAGTCTGCTTCTTTCCACTCTTTTGGGGAACAGAGAAAACATGAGGAAAAGGGGAACGATTGTGGTTTTACTGTGATAACAGAACAGACGGCAAGTGAGGTGAAAGCTGATGGAAACACACACGCTTGTCTGGATGAAAATACTCTTACTGCTCAGCCTAGTGCACAAACTATCACACCTGCACCGCAGAGAAGGGAGGGAGAGATAGACCTTAACAAGAGAGGAGCTACAAGAAGAAATGGAGACGGAGACAACATGACGACATCTGATCGGGAGAGGGCTGCAGGTAACCTGATATATTATGATTAACACCTACTACTTGTTTTGTATGTAATTGTGATTCTTTTCACTAAGACTGCATGTTGTTGAAATGATTTGACTGCAAAAAACTGTAGAATTGTCCCCACAAGAACTGCCACTGATGCATCTTTTATTAAAAACATGGAGTTCAAAAGTGTTTCTACTAAGCAAAGTGTGATGGACCATTAGTTAAAAATATGCTATCAGGAATGCAGACTTTCAGACAAGATACTAAAATGTCTTTGAATGTAGTGTGTTTTTATTCCCTGCTAACTATTTTTCAAATTTTGTTACTTTTTTCACACCAAAAAAGCTACAGGAATGATGTCAGCGTGTGCTGTGGAAGAGAGGTTGGACGAGAGCTGGTTTACGGAGCAGATGGATCATAATGAAGGTCTTGACTCAGGGAATAAATCCAAAAAACCCTGGTGAGAAACGCATGTTGGTGCAAAGTTTAATCAGGTTAGATGATGATATATTTGCTGATGTCAAGGACATAGAGGGAGAAGGATCGAGCAGAAGTGAGGGAGCACGACACATATGTGGGTTCAAGTACATAACTTGATGACCAATGAGCTGCTGAAAAGTGTGTGTCAACGTGCCAGTCCAAATCCCTCTATGGGCTGATGGTAGCCTCATGGTTGAAGTGAGTTTGTGACTGGAAAGTTTTTAATGAGACCAAGACCTACATGTTTGTTCTTCCAGTTGAATGAATTCATTCATATTGAGATTACTGAAAAAACATAAGCACATATAATCAAAGTCCTCTCTGTACCTACAGTAAGGTGCCAGACCATGTGATCCTTTCTGGAGGCCTTAACAACCGCTACTGGGTTTTAGATGTGGAGGAGAGGCCTGGCCACAAAACACTCACCATCTCATGCTCCAAATCTCTACGGCCAACTGAGACGTGTGTGCTGAAGGATGGATGGTAATGCTTTGTGTTAGGGTCTTCTGTTCTGTTCACATAGTTATTAAATTATCATTTTTAATATAATGTGCATTGCATTCTTCCCTAAAATGCCCATTTGCAGCCTGGATTTGTGCAAATAGCACTGACTTTTCAACGTCTGTGTGTACAGTATTTGTACAAACTGTGTGTTTATGTACGCATGTGTCCATTTCTTTTCTCTCCTTTTTCTTGTGATATTTATTTATGGTACCATGTGGAGTTTTTAACCTCTGGAAAGGCCATGGAGTGTTTTATTTATGAGCTGATCCATGTTTTGTTAGGTTTGTCTGCACACACATGTGGTTGGTGTTATAACACAGCCTTGCCAGTGGTTTCACAACATTTAAATGATCTTTAGGTGGCAGACATGTGCCACGAAACGTAGCATTGGGGCAACAAAATGCCATCAATACATTTTGTTTACCTTTTGGTGAGAAACACTGAATGTAAACTTAACTTTTGTTTGTTTATAAGAAAGCTCCACAGGTCACCTTTTTAAGTCGTCATTTCTATTTTGTGTTTGCACATTCATATATAATTTGTGTCTATCTGATAAATTGACAATCTGTGACGATCGGGGACTGTGCGTTTGGAAAATGTTTGTATTTATGTATTGCAGTTTTTTTTGTGTGTCTTTTTAAATGCATCTAAAATTAGAATTCCATGTGTGTTTCCAGGGAGATGACGCCTGTTTGTCGTGGTGATGTGGTGCATCTGGAGGGCCGCTCTGATGGTGTTTCCTGGTTAGTGGGCAGGGAGCAGGGCTTCCTGGTTTTACTGCCTGATAGCCTAATTTCAGGCACCAGCATCTCAAACTCCATCCGCTGCATGAGGCGTGCAGTACTGGGAGATATGTTCAAGGTAAAAGGTTTTACTAATGCAATTAATATCACTTCCTTTTTATGTTGTTTGATTATTATGTATTTTTTTTGAAATTTTCTATTTTATCTTGAAGTGAAAACTTTTTACACAAGCTAACAGTTACTTTATAATAATAATGTCACCCATGTGCACAATAATGACACTGAAGTACCCACTTACGTGTAGATCTTGCTGTGTATATCAGCAGAAATGTCTGTATCTAACAGGTGTTGGATAAAATATCTGCAGTTTACATTGGCGCCTAAATATCATGTTTAGTCCGGAGTCCTGCTCCTAAATCATTCTGTATTCTCGGCTTGCACAAAAGACTCTTACATAATGCAATAGCTGTGCAATAAATTCTACCTTTTTGTTTATGATGACTGTTTCAAAGAGGTTTTGATATTTTATTATTACACATACCTCAATAACACAGTGCCATACATACCTTTTCCTGTTCTTTCTGTTTGCCATGATTCAGACTTTTGACGGTGGCTCCAAGCAAATGCTGAACGGCACCATGGTCCATGAAGTCTTCCAGAGAGCAGCTACAGCTAAAGATTTTTCTTTGGAGACTCTGTCTAAGCTGGCTGACCAGGCCCTGCACAGTCCTCAGTACCTGGGAGATATGTACGTGGTTAGGTTATAATCCTGTTTGCAATGATACAGTTCAGAATAGAGCACTCGAATCAAGAAATAAAGAAACAGCAGGGGAAGCACTGAGCAGTTATTTGTGAATGTTTCCTGTAGATTTAACAATGTGTTGTTTTTTGATGTATCACATTTTTCTCTGATGTGCATGTTCTTTTGTGTTGTTCAGTTACGTTTTTGTCCATGTGTCTCCAGGTACAGTTTGGGTGTAAGCCAGGAAGAGATGAAGCAGGAGCTGCATGATTATCTGCCCTCACTGGAACATTGGGCAAAGGAATACCTCATCTCACCAACACCAAAAGCTATCAGCCTCAAAATGTATGTAGTTTGCTAACAAAACTTTGAGCTCTGCAGGAGTCTACCTGATTGTGTTGTTTCCATATCTGGTATTAATCAGTGAATGTCAAAAGTGACACTTCTAAGGATATTTTTGCAAAGTTAAGTCAGAGTTTGAAACGTAATCACCTAAAACCGTGAGAATAAGGTTTTGTCAACTTGTCTTGATTACCTCAGCCCTGGCAACAGCAGAGCTCCAAGCAGCTGTCAGGACCCTGCAACTGCTGTCACGCTTACAGAGCTGGTAGATATAGAGGAGAACGTGTGGTCCCCGAGATTTGGTCTGAAAGGCAAAATCGATGTGACGGCACGGGTCCAAATCCAAAGACAACGAAACAGTAGTCTCAGAACCCCGGAGGAGAGGATCGTCCCCCTGGAGCTGAAAACTGGGAAGGAGTCAAACTCAATAGAGCATCGCAGTCAGGTTGGTGGATTGCAGCGGGCTCACCTAGGTGCACAAGTAGACTGGTGGAGGTGAAAAGGCAGGTTTACGGTGATTTTAGGTAACATTAATGCTTCAAAATGTTCATATACATGTGTTTTTTGATGTATAGGTGATTCTTTACACTCTGATGAGTTTGGAGAGATACAGTCCTGAAGCTGGCTTCCTGCTTTACCTCAAGACTGGCAACCTGCACGCTGTAGTGCCCAGCCACATGGACCGCAGAGGTACAGTGTACCCACATGTGCTTAACACCAGTTGTGAACAATGATATCAAAAGTTATTATGCATCATTAATAAGAGATAATGAAACTTTATTTTTTTCTCAGAGCTGCTGAAGCTGAGGAACAAGTTGGTTCATCACATTCACAACTGTGTGGAGAGAGAGGCGGATCGGAGCCGTTTGTCTAGACTTCCTGACATCCTGACAAACAGACAAACCTGCCAGTATTGTCCTCAGAGAAGAAACTGTGCTTTATATGAGAAGTAAAATTTTTCATCTTATTTGCGGCCATGGAAATCTCAAGCATTATATTTTTTATGAAAGTTAAATAGTAGTTAAATGGTCTCATTAAGCTATTATTTCTTCTGTCTACCTTGTCCTCTTTTCTTATCATTTCCTCTCTTGTTTTTCCTCTTTCTCAACACCTGTCCTCACCCTTCCTCCAGGGCGGTGGATGGCAGCTCTGTAGATGTCTGCGAGGACGTTGTGCGTGACTTCTTGCAAGAGGAGACTGCTCATCTGAACCCACCACATCTGAGCTATTTTTCCCATTGGCTGCTTCTCTGCTGCCTTGAGGCTGCCACCATGGAGGCCAAGAATGGCCGAAAGTGTGTGTGGCTTCAGACGGCTGAGGAGAGGTAGGAAGCTGGTCTATCAAATTTAATCATGTAAACACTCATCTCATCTTTGGCCTTCACTGAATGTTCCAGCTCCTGTTGTGAGCCATTATGAAACGCTCACAGTAAAGTCAAATCCAGTATTGGAGATGTATATAAAAATTTTAAAAAAGGACCCTCATATGGTATAAAACATATTGCTGTATTTGCTTGCCTGTGTTTCTAGTGAGAAGAATGGGAGCTGTGTGGGGAATCTGCAGCTCAGTGGTCCAGTGGCCGTGCAGTCCGAAGGCGTTTTCCTCCATCGTTTCCAGCGAAGCAGTGTGGGGCCACAGAAAGGTCTGGCCACCAGCGGTCTGGCCAGCAGAGATCGCATCGTTGTAAGCGACCAGGAAGGTCGTCTGGTTGGTTTGGCAACAGGCTACCTGTGCGAGGTCAGCAGGACATCAATCAGCTGCACTCTGGACAGGTGAGAACAAACCCATGAAGTATTTCAAGTAAAAGACAGTGAACTGTTTGGACTTGTCTTTCTGCCGCTGCTCAGTTGAAGTTGCTAACTTGATTTACAACAGTTTTGTTGTTTAATGTGTTTTACAGAGACCTGTCTAAGTTCAGTGGTGTGTTGTTTCGATTGGACGGTGATGAAGGCGTGGTGGGCCTCAGCACTCACCTCACCAATCTGTCCAAACTGATGGAAAACTCTCAGGACAGGTAGGTACAGTAAAATGCAGTATTAAGGGACACTGTGTTGCTGTCATCCTCTTGTGCTCTAAGATGCTAAGATTTAAAGTTAATAACGTTGGATTACTATTTCTAATTTCTAAAATCTTTTTTGACATGCATATGTAACCCTGAAAAAATGAAGCATTTATTTTTATGTTCAATAAATACAATAATGTAATCGTGTTTAAATAATCGTGATCTCAATATTGACTATAAGAATTGTGATTATGATTTTTGCCGTAATCAAGCAGCCCTAGGAAACTACATTATCTATAGGAAATGAACTAGATGACAGTTAAAACAACAACTTCATACATTTTATGTTTGCTCTTTGCTGTGCAGTGATCGTCTGAGGGAGCTGGTTGTTGACCTTCATCCTCCAGAGTTTATTTCCAACCTCAGTTCTGTTCTGCCAAGAGAGGCAAAGGACACTGTGGCCAACATCCTCAAAGGTGACAAAACTACTCTGCCTGTCTGATTTACTTTCTTTTGCCCTTTTCTATATTGAAGTTTGTTCTACTTTCCATTACTGTGGGGTCCATTACAAATGAGCAGCTGTCATAGCAGATTTGTTCTGCAAACTCACATGTGTGCCTTTGTGTGTTTGCTCCTCTCCCGGCTGCCTGGGGTCAACAAAAGGACATGCGTGTGTAGGTGTGCAAAAAACTACTGGGGCTCTGTTTTTCAGCGCAGAATTCAGCTCACAGTGCATTCAAAACAGTCACATGGCCTGACTTTCTACATGACTAGCTACAACATATTTGGTGTTTAGGGTCACATCTGCAGGTGTATGACCACCAAGACTCAAATCTGTTGGGTAGCTGACAGAGAAACTGCTGATTCCAGTAAGAAAAACAGCCAAGAGAGGAGGTCGTGCTTAGAAACAGAGCTATAAAAGGTGGTGCAAAAGAAGTTTTATTTTATTTTTTTTTTTTTTCTTGTGAGAGACTTGGGGTGCTTTCACACCTGCCTCATTTAGTTCGGTTGAATCTCACTAGAGTTCTTTTTCCCCCTTGGTGTGAACGTAGCAATCGCACTCGGGTGCACACCAAAAGCGGGCCAAACAAGAATGCTTTCAAACAAACTAAGGGGGGGTTCGCTTGTGATGTGAAAGCAAACAAACCAACCACAGTTTATGATAGCAGAGATGTGATCTGAGCATTATTTCCAAAAGCTGAACCACTAACAAATCCTTCTGCTGACCGCGAAATGTGTTCAGCGATCTTCAAATTGATCTGTATGAGCCATGCTATGTTTATGAAAATAATTTGGTAATGTATACCCAACTTGTCAGCGCAGGTATTTTTCCTGATTAACAGATTAAAACCTGTTAAAAAGGAGGGCAAGTAGTACTCCGTTTACCCTGTCGGTTCATTAAAAGTCCATAAAACATTTGTGACAGCGATAGCACGGTATACTATAGGCTAATAAGCCCTGGATTATTACTGTACTTCATGTCCTGTTTAAACGTTATTATTCATAATAGGCTATGCGGTCGATCTGCGGTCTAACATTACTAATCATGCTTTAATATGCTTATAATATAAATATAATAAATTATTACTTTGTGAGCTCTTTGCGATACAGATCAGAAGCATTAAAGTGCTGCATAAACTTCGTCAGTCACCAGAGTTTGATTTCCCCACGTGGGTCCTGATGATGCAGGATGACAATCACCAAAGCTGTCCGATCAACAAATTACCTGTAAGTTTGCGTAACGTCATGGTTACTTCTCTTTGCTCATTTGTAAAACTTCAGCATGAACATGAACCAGACCAGAACTAAAATGCAACAGTGTATCATTTTTTTCACTTGGTCCGGACCAAATGAACCGAACTACAGGTGTGAAAGCACCCTTAAACCTCCAGTGAATCTTTTGTACTCCTTTGCTGTAATATTTTTGCTGAAGAGTTAAAAGTATTGGAGAGGGAGTTCAGAACTTTATCTGGCTTTTATCTAGTTTAAAATTTTATCTCCGATACAACTACATGGTTAAAAATTAGTAAACGCACTTAACCAGAAATTTTGCCCAGTCGTCATATTTAAATCGATGATAGAAAATGTTCCACTCCTTCTTCTTTATATAAAGACCTCTTCACTTGTGTCGGAGAATGCACGTTTGGTCAGTTCATGCGTTTGTGTGTGCAGGTCTCAACAAACCCCAGAAGCAGGCCATGAAGAAAGTATTGTTATCTAAAGACTACACACTGATTGTTGGTATGCCAGGCACCGGCAAAACCACAACCATCTGCACCCTGGTAAACTCCTAACCGTGATCTATGAACTTTAAATTACCTGAACCATAAAATCAACATATTACTTCCTAGTGAGACCAGACCTCTAACCCTCTCTCGTCCACCATTCTCTCTTTCCCTCTTGCTCTTTGTCGCTTCCTCACTTTCTTTCAGGTTCGCATCCTTCACGCATGTGGGTTCAGTGTGTTGCTGACCAGCTATACCCACTCTGCTGTTGACAACATCCTGCTGAAGCTAAAGCGTTTCCGGGTTGGGTTTCTGCGCCTTGGGCAGGGGCAGAAGGTGCGCTATAGTTGTAGTGATTTTAATGTGTAAAATACTGTACAGTCAATAAGTCTTTACGGCCCAATTTTGTTTTAACTGTCATGCTGTTTTTTTAAAAAAGGGGAAAAAAGCTACTCCATTCCCATCAAACCAGAAATCAGTATTAAATATATTTGAAGTTATACAGTAATATTTCACTGTATCATTTGGGTAATGGAATGTATATTTAAAACATGAAAGGAACAATTCACCAAAAACGAACATTTTAAAAATGCAAAAGTCTCGATGTCTTGTTTTGCCCCCCTCACAGTATCCCCTCCTCTGACTTGCTCTGATTTTACTCTTGTTTTCTGCCGCCTTCGCCAGGTTCATCCAGACATCCTGTCGTACACAGAGGAAAGTATGAGGAAAAAGGGAGTTCACAGTCTGTCGGAGTTGGAGCAGCTTTATAACAAGGAGGTGAGGAGTTATGTTCCATCTTTGACTGATTTATATACACTGATATGAATAAGTTCTTTATTTAGAATATTTAACATGATGTAATTTTTTTCCTTTTTCAAGACATTTCTCATGTAGAAAGTAACCTAAATACAACGATTCAACGTCTTACCATTCAATACCAAACCTCTCTCTCTTTCTAGCTGGTAGTGGGAACCACCTGTATGGGCATTAAGCATCCCATTTTCACACGTCGCCGGTTTGATTTCTGCATCGTAGACGAAGCTTCACAGATCAGTCAGCCCATCTGTGTGGGACCTCTGTTCTATGCCAAGAGATTTGTCCTGGTTGGAGATCACCAGCAACTGCCACCAATAGTGCAAAATCAGGAAGCCAGGTAAAGTGTGTGTGTGTGTGTGTGTGTGTGTGTGTGTGTGTGTGTGTGTGTGTGTGTGTGTGTGTGTGTGTGTGTGTGTGTGTGTGTGTGTGTGTGTGTGTGTGTGTGTGTGTGTGTGTGTGTGTGTGTGTGTGTGTGTGTGTGTGTGTGTGTGTGGTGTGTGTGTGTGTGTGTGTGTGTGTGTGTGTGTGTGTGTGTGTGTGTGAATGAGGATTAAAAAAAAACTGTTACCTTAAGGACATTTAGTGTGAGTTCAATTCATATTAGCTTTATTGGCATGAATGTGTAACAACAATATTGCCAAAGCATCAAACAAACTACATAAGAACAATCAACCCCATACATTTCATTAAACAAGTAAATTAAAGCGTAAAGTAATTAAATTAGTGTCTCATGTTTTACCCTCATGAGGACAAACAACTACAATGTCAGTTTTCACAAGGATAAACATGTTGGCAGTCTGCGTTAATTACTTAACTGAACCCATCAAAGTTAAAAGTATGTCCATAGAAATATCAGTTTCTTTCTTTCTTTATCTTCCAGGTCACTTGGCATGGACGAAAGTCTATTTAAGCGACTAGAGCTCCATAGTGAAGCAGTGGTCCAACTCAATGTACAGTACCGGATGAATAGGTAAACCTACACACACAGACAACACTGTGAGCTGCAGTAAACTTATAGCCGCTCTGTTTCGCTTTAGCATTTCAGAGAAAACTTAATTTTGTTAACATGACATCTATAAAACAGCATGACAAGAGTCAAAAGGAGTCCCACTCCATATTAAATAGTGTGTGCTCTGTGTTTTTAGGCAGATAATGTCTCTCAGTAACTCCCTGATGTATGAGGGCCGGCTGGAGTGTGGATCAGAGAGGACGGCCACGGCCCTGCTCACCCTGCCCTTCCTGCTTTCTGTCCAGTCGGAGCTTACTTCCTACTCTAAGACTGACCCCCAGCACGACCTGGCTTGGATACAGGCCACATTGTTGCCTACAAACCCTGTTTGCTTCCTAGATTGCTCAATGGTTGGTAAAATATGCGGTGCACCTCAAGCAGAAAAGATGTTGATCGTTGAGGTGCTGGTTAGCTTAAACTGTCCAAAGCGTCTGGGGTATGAAATCAAGCAATACTGTAAATTAGTAAATTACCTGCAGCGTACAAATTACTTTTGTTAAATTAGTGTACATCCTCCCCAGTCAGCTTTTAGTGACCCTAAAATGTTTTATTGTTCTTTTTTAAATGGATTTACTTGCCACATTTCAGCATTGTTTTTTTTTTTTAGCTGAGGCTTTATTAGCTCTTTCTTCAGGTGAAAGGTCAAGGAATTAAGTCAGCTTCACCTTCACCTGTTGAAGAAAGTGATTTGTCACATGAGATTTCTTTTTATTTTTTATTTTTTATTTTATTTTTGTGAGTAAGACAGTTACTTTGCAGAACTACATTTTCTTTCTCTCTGCTGCTGTCTTCAGTTGCCGGCACTGGAGTCTGTGGAGCAGGGAGGCATAAGCAATCACACTGAGGCTGCTCTCGTACACAAGCTGCTTTCACTGCTGATAAAGGTACATCAGTTTCCCAATTGATGGAATAATACAGTTGGTTTTTAAAGGCCTGGCTTCATTGTTAGTTCATTAAGTGTTTTTAATACCGTGGAAAAAAATTTTTTAAATGGAGAGATCATCTGTTGTAGCTAGTCATTTCACAAACTAACCTGCTTGTTTTTCTTTCTTCAGGCAGGATGTAAGCCCAGTGATATAGGTGTTATCGCTCCCTACAGACAGCAGTTAAAGACTATCTCTGCTCTGCTGCAGTCCTCTGCTTTCACCGGTGTGGAGGTGAATACAGTGGACAGATATCAAGGACGGGACAAGAGTCTGATAGTTTTTTCTTTTGTCAGGAGCATGGCAGAGGAAGGAAATGTAAGTGCCCCCCCCCCCTTCTCCTCTCTTCTCTTTGCCTCAGTCTCTCTACATGGATGAACAAGCAAATGAACAGGTAAGTGGGAACCTGACCCTATTCTCTGCTGCTTCTCCACTCATAGTTAGGAGAGCTGTTAAAGGACTGGCGACGCCTGAACGTAGCCATTACCAGGGCTAAGCACAAGCTGCTGATGGTGGGCTCTGTCACAACGCTACGTCGCTACGCACCTGTGGAGAAACTACTCAACCATCTGCAGCAAGAGAACTTGATATCCTTTAAATACATGTTTAAACTTGTTGCTACCACTGAACATTTCTTCATTTGAAAAACAAAATCTGATTCTCTTGAATGGGAGTACTGTTAGCATTAACTCATCATTTATTGCAAAATCAGGTTGAGTTTCTTTCTTTAGTTCTGTACATTTAAAGTCGGCAAGTCACCAGTGTTCCCAACAAATGGTGGTTGAGGCTGCAAGACTGCTTCAATGCTGTATATATTTATTTTCCTGAACCCTTCCTTTACATTATCCAGCTCCCGCCAGCTGCCCACAAGGCCTTACCAAGCACGCCCCTGTGATGGAAGTCATGATGGTGTTTTAGGTCACCTGTCTGTCTCACAGTGGAGCAGCCAGTGGCTGTGGATCATCTCTACAGGGCAGAGATTAATTGCCAAGCTGCATAAGCACTAAATTATCTGTCAGGAGGCGGCAATCACACATATGAGCAGTCAATACTTGATCGAGGTGTCATTGGCATTTGAAGCCTACAGTCCCTGCCTGTCACCTAATCTTACTGCTCCGCCTGTGACTACTTTGTGTCCTTCTAAACAAGCCTTTGTTGGAGTGTAACTGGAGATACAGATTACACTAATGAACACACTAAGACTGAGATCTGATGAAAATGTAGGCTTTCAAGCTCACGCTGCTTCTGATCGGTACCACACTGATTAAACATTGTACGTTTTTATAATAGAAACATTTTAAATGACAGTCTCGGAAACAAACATTGTATGTTTCGGCATGTTTTCCTGTTGTCAAATTTTTTGCAGTACAGTTTAGGCTCTAAGAACTCACACTGAAACAGGTGGAGGGGATTGGTAAGACGTCAAACTAAATCTCCTGAACCTCAATATGCTTTTTTAAGCCAGATTCCTTTAGGCCACAGATCTGATGGTTAATGTCTATGCTGTGAAACATGGTACTGAGATGATGAACAGCTAAAATAGTTGCTCACAAAAATTGTACTGAATCCATAAGATGGCCTTCCACTGACTGAACAGACACTGTGGTGGATTATGGTACTGAACAAACCTCAGCTAGGACCAGTTACTGTTCATAAACTGATATTTTCTGTCAAATACCTCAATACACTTGACTGTTTGAACTTTTCATTAAGTTCTTACACACACAACACATCAACCCAGTAGTAACAGATATATGGAGACCAAACATGTATTTCTCCTTCTAGTAGTCTAAAGGATGAAAAACTGAAAAGTCTAGCTATATTATTATTATTACCAGAATTATTTACAGCCTGTTTTTTTTAGCTCAGACCTCAAGTAGAGATTGTATAAATGTTACAGTGATGGCTATAGTGTTGGATTTCTTTTTTAGTGGATCAATTGCACATCACTGGACTTCATACTTGACGAGAAAAATAGCTTCAACAGTACTTGATTTTATTCTGTGTGCACTGGCAAACAACAAACTGGTATATAAATTTTGTTGTTTTTCTTTAAAAAAAAAAACAAGTTTACAATGTTATACTGTCTGTAACAGCAGAAACTAAAGTAAAGTTTTTCTGTTAGTTCCTTTGCGTACAGTGAAGAAATTAGCAGATCTGAAGCTGTACAGAAAATTACAGAGGAAACTACCTGGTATCAAGATAACCAGTCAAAAAAGGAAACATTTGTAGGAAACTGCAATTTAGAAAGAAATATATTCTGCTCAAACCAATGTAACCTAATGCAAATGAACTGTGAGGATTTAACTGATGATTCATTTACTGTGATCGGAGCATGTCAGATAACGTCCTGATAACTGTGAATCTACCTTTTGTTCTCAAGCTCTGATTTTACATGTTTTGTTTCTGTATGTTTTAAAACTTTTTTTTTTAATCTTGTAATTTTTGCCTTTGTAATGTGAATAAATAATACTAATGGTAACAAAGAGTGAGCAGTTCTTTCCATCCTGTAGGTTGTATGTTGACATTCTTAATAATGGTTCAATATGAGATTAAGCAGTCATTAGTCTGTTTAGCTTTTTATTTAAACCATCTAATTTTCTTTTAATCAAAGGAATTGATCAATTTTATTGGTACAAAGCCTTTGTCAGCTGATCTGTGCAGGTACAAAATGATCCACAACCTTCTTTGCTGTGTGTGTCTGTGGCTACAGTGTGATTGTTCCTTGCAGTACGGTGACGGTCTGTCCAGCTATGTTGATTCTTCCGTCGTCTCTCACTTCTAGTTCCAGCTCCCCGCCTCGACTGGAGCACTGGTAAGCTACACAAACACATGAGATAATATGAGTCAGTATGGTTCACTTCTGTAGCAATGCACTGTTTGTTGTTAGAGACGAGGCTTGTTATCAAGTAAATAGCACATTGTTTAATGGATAGTAAAATACTTTACCTGTCTCACTTAGTTAAATTGCACTGGTTCCAATTTTGCTTATCAAATAATGTGGTATTAGTTAATTTATTAATAATAGTTTAATTACCCAGCATTTTCTTCTTTCCTAGTTGCACTGACCAGTAGCTACCTAGCACGGTGTGGGCAGAACCTGCAAGGACAGAAAAGACAAGACCAGAAATTGGTTGCATAATTTTATAGGTATATTTCACAAAGATGCACATTAACTTTTACTGCGTGAGTGCTAGACATGTAAATGTTTTAGTATTTTTGCCAATGTATGCAATTATCAGAAATTACTTTACAATTCATGCTATTTGCAAGATAACATGATCACTCACTGTAACCTAACAAAGACTGTGTAGTAGTAGTAGTATTAATAGTCTACCAGTGACGGGGTCTTCAGGGATGCCATTCCATGGAGCAAAGACTCTAGAGTAGAAGTCGTATCCTGGTTGACAGTCTGGGGATCCTATTGACAGATATGGAAGGACATATTGATTGACCATAGCCTGCAGTTGTCATACAGGACTGTGCTCAACAGTGTTCTGTTATCATGTCATATGGGCAGAAACAGTCAGTAGACTTTGAGATGTAACATAGAGGGCATTTTGAGGCAACAAACGTGTAACTCATTTATTAAAAGACTGTCCATGTCTTAACTTTGGTACTATTGTAAACTAGAAATTACTGCATGTAGTCTGGCCAAGTCATAAAGCTGTCAACAATACCCAACACAGTAACCCCCTCGTCTAGCTAAAGGATCTAATCTTCAGCTAAATTATCTATTGTTTTAAGTGCTGGTTACCTTTCATGGTGATTAATACTGATTTGACTCTTCCACTCCTCTCACTGTTCTGAAGAGCAACAGGGTCAACTTTCAGATTGGTTAGCACTGACCTGGAGAAAAAGAAATACACGCATGTGGCACATAAGCAAAGTCACAAACAAACCTGGCAAGACTCAGGTGCGGGATTGAGGAAACTCAGTATGGCCTAGAGAAAAGACAGGCTTTGGTTTGAGAGGTTAGTGGTTTGAATTTCTCCCCAGCGATGCACTTTTTTTTTTTTAGCTGATCATGGGCCAACAGTTAAAGACTAACTATTAAACTGTCTGCCTCTGTGTACTGGTCTGTCTGTGTGTATGTGTTAGTCTGTGCTTTGATTGTAACCTGTCACAGCTGTCAGCCAGTCGAATCATCAGTTTTTTAGTGTTGGAGCTCAGATAAACAGCTTGGATTGGGTGGTTTCCAACTGCAGCCTGTAACACAAAGTTAAGCATGGACACGCAAACGAGAATACATATCTTTACACATAAAGGGGTTCATGTAGACTAGAGGTGGCCAAACTACACACGCGGGCCAACTGGCAGATTTTAAATGATCCACTGAATTTTTAAAAATTAACAAGCATGAGGCTTGAACACGGAGCTCTTGGGGCCGTCACACTCACCTTGATGACGTCATTGAACTCATTGGGTTCCTGAAAAAAGTTTTACAACAAAAAATCTGTTAGTTCAATGGCCTTTTTTTTGTCTTTTGAAATACTAAGCAAAGTTTATGAATTACTTGATTTTGGAAAATCTTGCTTTCCTAATGCATACATGCTAATGCAGGATCTTCATAGTGATTTACATGATGGTGTTATGGGCAATAAAAAATAATTAGTAAAGGTTGTGACAGGGAAAGGGGTGGCTGTGACTCAGGAGGTAGAGCAGGTTGCCCGTTAATCGGAATGCGATGTAGTGTATAAGCGCTTTGAGTGGTCGCAAAGACTATAAAGGCGCTATACAAATATGGAGCATTTACATTTGATTTCCTATGTGTGTTCTATTTCTGGTGTTCAGTTGCATATTGTTGGTTACGTTTTCCACACAATGTATCGTTAACCTATTATAACCTATAACAGTAGATGTCCTGAGGCGTTTATCTGACCACATACTGTACCTCCTGGGTGGGTGGGTTGAGAGGAAAGTCCATGATGTATCCTTCCCCCAGCTGGGCGACAGCCAGATCTCCACTCTTGGTCTCAAACACCAGTGTGGGATTCACATTCTCTAACAGACGTAACATATAAACATAAAATATTATGTTCACAGGCTTGCTGCTGAACTATGTTTACTGAATTGTAAATGAATAATGTGGGTTAATATGGGTTTGTTATTTCTTATATTTATCTGCTCAAGCTGAGTATTACATAGAAAAGCCTTTGTTATTGTCAGGTAACCATTACAAAAGAATTTAAAATGCCTCCAGTCCCACTTTTTTGTGCATGTCTTTTCCGATTTTACTTGGTTTTAACTGGAAATGAACGTGTGTGTGTGTGTGTGTGTGTGTGTGTGTGTGTGTGTGTGTGTGTGTGTGTGTGTGTATTATCTTACTCTTGTACTGGAATAGCACTGCTGCAGTGGCCAGAGTGGCATGACCACACAGATTCACTTCATTGGTTGGTGTAAACCATCGAAGGCGGAACCTTGATCCTGTTAATCATGTTGTCAGACAGGTGCTTTAATAGACACACAACTTCAACATGTAGAGGGAAGTTATTGTATACAGTAAGTAATTACTTGGCTGCAAGTTAAATTTATATACAAGGGGACTGAGTTACACTTACTTAACACTGATTGACACTAATTATGGGATGACATTAAAATGTTGGTATGAAGCAAAGTAATCCTGTTCATTACGATCAATACAGTTTATCCATCAATGTATTTAATGACAACTGCAATGTAAAATTGATGATTTATAACCATCATTACAGTTAATGTGCCTAATAACAGGGTTATTACCATGATTATTGCATGTAAACTGTTTGTACTCTGCTTGAGGTAGATATACAGTATGTAGATATGAGTCTGAGATCTATCTAAGCTCTATGGTGATCTCTGTGAATTTTTTATGAGGGATTCTTAAGCTGCATACTAATGACACTGACATTCCTCTCTGTGCATTTCTACCATTTAACTGTGACAGCTCATTGTATTGTTCTTCCCATTGCCAACAATGCAAGTCTTAGCTGTGTGTTTAACATTGTTACCTGTCAGACTGCTGAGGACAGGTGTTATTTTATCTATTGTTTTCTTTCTTTCTCTCAGGTGGGTTGCAAATTCTCTACTCAGTCAAAACAAATGGCACTCATAGACTTTGAAGTGGCGCTATAATGTTTTTTGCATTTATCTTGAAAACGGCTTTGTTTAGAGTCAAACTTCTGGAAAAATTCTCTGGATTCATCTGCATCTTTGCTCCAATGGTCTAAATGGTCTGGTTCTGCTCTAACAATGTCAAATTATGCGACTTTTTACCACGTTTCTCTAAAACCTATTTTTGCGAACTCTCCCCAGATAGTCTCGTCAATCGATCTGAAACTTTGGCAGAAACATCTACAGACATCACTGATCAAAAGTTATCAAAAGAATTTTGATACGTCAATCTGTTTATTTCATAAATATTTACTTTTGTGTCTTTATGTACAATTTTACATAAATACCCGTTAATCAAAATTGGCTTAAGCTATTGTATTTTATTCTTCCACTAGGGGGCGCAAGAAGTTTATTCCTAGTAATTTGCTGCATGGATTAGTACAAAATTCGGTTTTTAGGATCTAGGGACACTATTCAGTTGATGCATAAAATTTGGTAATGATTGCTCAAAGTGGGTGTGACTTATTACAAGAAATGTAAATTTCTAGACATTTCTCATTCCAAACTTCAATAAATCTAACTAAATCACCCATACAGCTGAAATGTTTTCAGCACATCCACTGATACGTAACAAACGTTTACCTCACTGCAACCTACGGTCAATTCAGAAGTCAGTCACTATATTTCTCAGAATATGCTAATTTAATTAACAAGTTTTTGTTCAAATGCTACCAAAATCAACACAGGCATTCTCTAGATGACCAATATCGAGTCTTTCAAAGGGTTTTTAGATCGGTCAAATAGTGAGTTGTACAGTGTGCACAACATCTTTTTTGCTCAGTGTTGGATCAAATGCCACTAAAATAATTGACAATACACCCTAAACCAGAAGGATTATGTATGATTTTTTTCAGAATTTTCTCACCAGCATTTTGACTGTTGTAAGCGTATTTAGTTTAAACTGACAAAACTATCTGGGCTGCGATGGACTGGCGACCTGTCCAGGGGTGTACCCCGCCTTGCGCCCGATGTCAGCTGGGATAGGCTCCAGCCCCCCGCGACCCTGTACGCAGGATAAGCGGCTGACGATGGATGGATGGAAAACTATCTGGGTGTGGCACGTGTGATGTCACTACCTCAACTTGTGAAAAGGTGTGTGGAAACACGCTCTGACCAGTAGCTCAGTCAGTTAATCAACCACTCTGTAGAACTGGAGAAATCCCTACATGTCCATGTCAGACTTGCTGATAATGGGGGTTTTCAGATCACAGTGAGTTGAAGTTATCTGTTTTATTTGGATCCAGTGACATTTTCTTCTTATTTTTCCTCTTCCAAAATTGACAATCGTAAATCATAATTTAAGGTATAGTCAGTGTCACAGCTTACAATGGCTATTAGCTGGTATTTAAGTCCATTAGTTAGCTGGTTTCACAGATCTGCTTTCAACAGTTTTATCCCCATTCAAACCTCCTCAATGACAACACATGGACAGAACATATGTAAAGGACTGTAAAAACATTTCTATTGAATATATTAAACCATATGATTTGACCTGTAGTAAAATCGTCAGAGGGGTTGATCCTGGTGATGAAAGCTGTTTCTGACAGGTTCATCTCTGCTGCTATCTTCTGATACAACTCATCACTCAGCTCCTGTTGGAAACACACACATAATACGCAACCTTTTGTTGTGACATATAATCATTTCACACTGCATACACATAGGCCTAGTTGGATAAAGAAGACAACAAATGGTGTAACCATGTAACACATGAGCAACTAAAACTCGTAAACTTTGCTGACAGAAAACGCCAAATTAATTATTAACTGATCATTAAACAAACAACCAAACAAACAATTTAGAAGCATTTAGAAGTGTCTTTATCTTTTTCAGTGTTGGTTTACATTTTGCAAAGCTCTACTGCAGGCGGTCATAGGTAAGTAGCCTACATTATTACTTTAACCTAAATACTTACATGCATGAGGGGGCAAATTGCCGCAGGGTTTCCTTTGAATGGTACATTAGTGAACGCATCTACCGTATATACTGGAATCTCCATTATGGTTGGGCTAAATATGAGAATGGCTTGAAGCAGAAGAGTCTTCCGTGCGGACAGTGGTGTTTGACCGGGTTTGTCCCACGCAGTGGGTGGACTTCAATCCCTTTGTGTTTGGTTTCAGCAGGAAACATTGGTCAGGCCAGCCGCCACCTGTTTTTTGTTGTGCCTAAAGTGGCTTAGTGTTATTACGGTAAGGACTGATAGTGAGCAAGGTGAAGGTCCTGAAAGATGCATGTAAGGTTTTTTAGTAAAGTTTGTCTTTAGATGAACACAAATGAATACTACTGGAGACAGGCCCGGTGCCAGGATGAAGTGACTGAGGGGGCAGTTAAAAATGGCGAGGGGGCCAATCTTTATATGTATCCAATTCCAGTTTTGCTAGTTTTACAGCAGAAAAAACGGTCTATGCGCTGGAACGCGAAACAAAAATCTTGAGGTATTTGAGCAGCAAAAAAGAAAAAAGCTTAAGTTATAAACTTGACATGACAGGACAAAGGAAACTCTCCAGAGGAAACAGAATTCAACTTTTAGCTTCTGAAATCATTGAGATGCTCTGATGGAGGACTGATCAGGAGGAGGGCTGCTGCTTTACTCTAAATAGTTTCACTGTATGAACCTGGACTGTGTGTGAGACCTTTTGGATGTGTAAAAGAACAAAGAATATCAATTAACATTAGATCCTGACCGAGATTTTAATAGTCAATGTTATAATCAATGCGCCAACAATGAGCCTAACCACACCTCATTTTAAAACCGATGCTCCCATGGGCGCACAGATGGTCGCTTGGCATGCAAATGTCAACTATGCCAGTTGGAAACCAGACACTCGCGCTGCGCTTTGCGCCGTTTTGTGCAGGGTGCAAGATAGGGCCAATAATCTTTTTGGTCTTTTTGATAACCGTAGGTTATCAGCCTGTTATAACAATTTCTCTATTTGTTTTCATCCTGTGGGTGGAAAATGTCGGTGCTGCATCATTCGTTTTGATGATCATGCCTCCCTAAAACTTTTCACTCTGTTCCATAGACTTGCTGTTGGCAAGTGAAAATGAATACAGCGTTTGTGCATGTTTACTGTGGATCGCTGTCAGATGATGAGCCGTCAGATGCTGAATGGATCCAAGACACATCACTGTAACTTCCTCTCCTTGCTGAGCGAGTCTGCAGGCCTGTTTAGACTGTGTTGCCAGTAGTGAGAAGTTAATAGCGCGAAAATGACTGCTTTCTTTATAGAGATCCATTTTTACCCGTTGGTGCTTATGCATAAATGCCGTTTTTTTCAGTCAGTCTTTATCTTGACAACTCTCAACAAAAGTCAAAGACTGGGGGACTTGAATAGCCTATTGTAGGCTATAGACAAAAAAACAGGCATAGGCTACAATCAAAAAACAGCAGCAGGTAAATTTTGCCCTTTGATGGTTCTAGACAGGGGGCAGAAAATAAAACTGAGCACCCTCCTGCCCCCTCATGGCTCCGGGCCCATTCTGGATATTGAAATCTAAATGCGTTTCTGTACTTTTCTAAAAAGTGATTTCTTAAGTTCAAGTAGGCCTACCGAATGTGTGTCAGCAATACATTACAGTAATAGCAGATGCCATGAGAACGATTTTGGTCAAAATTAACATAACATTTTTTGTGTTTGTTTTAGTGTTACTGTATTAGTATTTCTTTATATTCATAAAATAACAGAAAGAAGATGCACATTTTGTAGGCTATTCATAAGATTAATAATACATAATATTATTATATCTCAGTTAGTATTAATCAGCCCCCGCGATCCTGTACGCAGGATAAGCGGCTGACGATGGATGGTTGGATGGATGGAATTAGTATTTATTTGTGTTTATCTAAAAACTAACATCACAGAAAACCCGTGCATGTATCTTTCTGGACCTTCCATGCTCACGGCCCGTCCTTACCGTAATAACACTACAACAGGCACAACGATAATTAGACTGCCGCTGGTTTAACCACTACGCAATAGCTGGCTCACCTTACAACAGTCCTCAAGTGACCTTGTTACTGTCTGGGATGCCAGATTTTCAAATATGTTTCCAACCCCATATCGTTTCCGACACTAGACGAACAAGTCAGTTATTGTCATAGGAGTATAGGCCTACAATGTAGGTTAGGCCTAAGCTTTGCTCCCTCATTAAAAACTGTTGTTAACAAGGTTACTTTGAACTTGTTTTTGATGAGTGTTAAATCTACTTTCTGACATTGGATATAGCCCAGATTTCTGCTTGCTATCTCTGCATGACTCATAAACTAATAGCCTACTAGAGGCATCCATTTTTCTTACAATTTCCACACAGTTTTTGGTCTTATTTATCACAGTGCATTACAGCCTGTGTAGCATTCAAAGCAGTCTCCAGAAGGATTAATACATTAATTCAGCTCCTTTTGACACAGTCATTTACATGATCCTGCTATCCGCACTCTCCGCAATGGGCATCTCAGGCATAGCACTCCTGTTCGAATCCTACCTCTCTAGGCATTTCCTACTTTTTATATACAGTCTATGGTTTCTACCATGAGTGGTGGCAAGGACAGTTGTCCTCCTCTCACTGTCTTTCCACAGGGGTGCCTCAAGGCTCGGTTCTAGGGCCCCTTCTCTTCTCAATTTACACCAACTCACTGGGACCGATCATTCGCTTGCATGGCTTCTTTTACCACTGCTACGCAGACGATATGCAACTCTATCTATCCTTCCCACCAGACGACCCCACTGTCTCGCTGCAGATCTGTCTCCCGGACTTAACCAAATGGATGAAGGCTTGCCACCTTCAACTAAACCTCTCTAAGACTGAGCTCTTGGTCATTCCAGCCAAGCAATCTTTCCACTACAACATCAAACTACAAATTGGCTCCTCCACCATCACTCCAACCAGGGTGGTGAGAAACCTGATTGAAGACCAACTGTCCTTTTCATACCAAATTGCTGCTGTCTCTCGGTTGTGCTTTGCTCTATAAGAAAAGTCAGGCTAAATAAGGCCTACCTTACTTAGTACGCCGCCCAGCTTCTGGTACAGGCCATGGTTATCTCTTGCCTCGACTATTGCAATGCCCTAGTGGGTTTTCCAGCTTGTGTGGTAAAACCCCTAAAAATGGTTCAGAACGCAGCAGTATTTCTGGATTTTGATCAGCCCAAAAGGACTAATGTCACTCCATTACTCAGCGACCTCTACTAGCTACCCATGGCCTCCCAAATCAAATTCAAGTCACTAATGCTTGCACACAGTGACTACTGGGTCTACACCCATCTACCTTAATTGCATAATACAAGGTTACGTTCCTCCTTGGCCGATGCACTCCTCCAACCCCATCTGGCTCTGCCATCCCTTCACACAAAGCATTCTCAGTCCAGGCTGTTCTCATCTGTGACACCACAATGGTGGAACAAGTTACCACATGCCATCAGAGCAGTGGTGTCTTCTCTAACTTCAAGGAGCTCTTGAAAACTCATCTCTTCCGAGAACATTTGTTCTTCTAACCTCTAACATGCACTTCCTGTCTTCTTCTTCCAGCCCCTTAACAATTCTCTTGTATTATTGCACTATTTTGTTAACTCTTACTTATTTCCCTAGGTATTTACCCCATTGATGCCATACGTGCTTATAGCTCTTCCTAGTATTTATTGCTGCTCTTATTAGTATCTGTTGTCACTTGTAGATCTCTTACTGTATTGATACTTTATTGATGCAGCATGTTGTTCCTCAAAATGTAAGTCTCTTTGGAATCGTCTGCCAAATGAGATAAAGTCAAGGTAAATGTAATTAGCTGAACAGACATACAAATAATGATTTGAATTAATGCATTTCATTAACGTTACATACTCAGGACACATTATAAACAAACTCAACCTATGAATAAGCAAACTTCAGTGTACAATAGCCTATTCATACAGTACTTTAGGCTACATTACACTTTGACTTTTTACACAAAAATATTTGTTTTGATAAAAAAAATTCAACAACATGCGTTTACGCTCCTCCATCCTATAACTCCTCCACTTATAAGTTGTTGTTAATAAAAAGATAAAGAAGTTGTTGTTGTTGTTAAAAGGATATAAGGCCTCATGTTTAATGTGTCCATATCTCGCGATATTATACCTGAGCGGTGTTTGTCGGCAGTGACACCTGAGGCTCGGGAAAGAGCAGAGGAGATCGGGGACAAGAGGCGACCGTAAGATCTTTTTCATCGTTTACAGACATTTGTCACTGACGCCTGACATATTTCCATCTGGGGATACATTTTTATATCCAGTGACAGGGTGCGGCCGTTGGGAATTGAACTAGTTTGTCTTGTACATTTGACCGCTGTCAGTGTCCTACAGTTAGCCTTAGCTGTTAGCCTGCTAACTGCTAATGTTATCAAGCTAATATTAGCACGTCAGCCTGCAGGAGAGACACGTTAGCATCATTAGCTAAACCAGAATGCAAATAGTCTCCCGTGGCGAACTTCAGAGAAGTAACTTTCCTAAAGAGTAAATAACGTCTTGTTAGGATGTGTGTGGAAAGGTCCTAGTAAGTTGAGATGTCGTTACGTTTGGTTTTAGCAACACTTTGAGACACAGCTGGAAGGAGGAAGTAACAAACGTTAGCTTATTTAACAGTAACTTGCATTGTAGTGCTGAATTATTAGATATTTCCTACTGGGCTTTTGTTATTGCATACTGTTTAATTGTGGGTGCAACGCTTTTGTCTCTATCAATTGTTTAGTTTTCAACAAGGTAACGTTACGAAACTGTTGCTTAATGATTCCTGCAGAAATTCTGTTGCGCCATGTATTAATACAATGGGAATATCTGTGAATGATAAGCATGTTAGACAAATGCTTCTGCTGTGTTTATGATAACTGTACAAATAGAAGAAACACAAATAAGATATTATCCATCATCATTAGCAGTCTGTGCCTACATAAGCCAAATAGAAATGGCAGACATTACAAAATGAGAAGAGCAGTAAGTTACCTAATGCAAGACTATAAATATACCTTTTATTTATATATATATATATATATGTGTGTGTGTGTGTGTGTGTTTACAAAACAGTAATTTAATGTGTTGCTGCTGTTTTGTCATCTGAGGCAGTAAGGATGTCTTTGAATGAAGAAGGGTATGTGGTTCGGATCAGAGGACTACCTTGGTCCTGCACGCAGGAAGAGGTGGCTAGTTTCTTCTCCGGTGAGAAAACACACATATCTTTACAGCTTGAGGCATTAACAGTGTTAAAACTGAAAATACATGTAAAATGATCAAATCAGCATTCCTTAGTAAATACAACATGTTGTTTGTTACACACAGAGACAACTTGGGTTTCTAAGCCTTTTCCCAGGTCATCTTAATGTTCAAAATTTCACATGACTGCAACCATTATAGAGGTGTCAGGATCTCAGGTGAATCGGAGGATAAATGATATACTGTTGGATTCTACGTTTCTGGAGCTCCAAACAGCTCAAATTAGATGGGATCCAGTTGTACTGACTATTGTGTGTTTTTCTTGAATATCTGGCATCATTTCAAGGACATCTCAATCAGTCTTACTTATTTACAGACTGTGATATTGTTGGCAAAGTAAGTGGAGTATGTTTCACCTACTCTAAAGAAGGCCGTCCCAGTGGAGAGGCATTTATTGAGCTGAAAACAGCCGAGGATTTCAAGAATGCCCTCGCCAAGGACCGTAAATACATGGGACACCGATACATAGAGGGTAAGAAATATAAACAATCTTAAGAGACCGATAGACCAATGAGTGTTGTATTATTGCTGCATTATATAACAGTACTGATACAAACAGTTAAAGTGCAACTTACTCTTTTGCTGACATGTCATCAGTTTACTTGCATGTAAAAGTCAGCTCACCTGTATTGATTTAACAGCTTGTGTGAGCCAAACTCTAATCAAAATTTGTATTTTTAATAACTTTAATTTTACCTTCCAGATCTTTACATGTGACGTGTGTGTCCATCTATCTTTGTGTCTCAATCAGTGTTCAAGTCAAACCGTAGTGAGATGGACTGGGTGCTGAAACGTAGCGGTCCTGCTGATTATGACAACTGCAGTGGCTGCATGCTGAGACTTAGAGGCCTTCCCTTTGGCTGCAGCAAGGAGGAGATTGTTCAGTTCTTCTCAGGTACATGAACATTAACACGTTTGTGTAATTGCTCTTTGAATTGTACTGTTTTACACCACTGATGCTAATCTGAAAGACACGCTGTTCACTTGTAGATTTTTCACAGTGTAAGGGTGCTGGCAGAACTGCAGCTAGCTTTTAAATGTGCATAAGAGCATCTCAACTTGCAGTACAAGACAATCAAATGAGATAACCACTGAAAGAAATGTCAGATGCATGTAGGCTCTGAATACTTTCCACTCATCTCTTGCTCAATATTTATGTAGAGCCCTGTATCACATACATCTTCACATAGGTTTCATTAAATAAGGTCAAATAGTTCCAGTGAAATGAGTTTAACAAACAGTCACACAAGTCTAAAGGCCCAGGTGGAACTTAAAGCCACAATATGTAGAATTTCTATTTATGAAGTCGGATTATAGCATCTTTAACATTATTCTGATGTGGTGTTTATGTTTGTACAAAAGTGGAACAACAGCCAGCTTTACATTTACAGGCTCTTTCTTGAGCAGTTCCATGACATTAGGATATGTGACTTTGATTGTGTAATGGAAAATCCTAAATACTGCCAACTGCACTTTGAACGACGTTTTCCACTTTGCTGATCAACCCCAAAGCAACACACCACCACATAAGTATACACTAACATTTAAGGTAGATTGACAGATTTGCCAACACTTAACACTACCTTTTCACATTGGTCAAGTGGTATTCTTGTGACTTATATTCAGTCAACATGTCTGTCTGTCAAGACCTAATGTATGTTCGTTCTTGTAGTATAGTTATACTGTGTTCACTAATGTCCTTTTTATGAATTCTAATAGTATGCCTCTTAACATGTTCCCACTTTAATTAGTATGCTTATGCTCAGGGATGCACTGATCCGATACTGATATTGAATATCGTTCCGATACTGACTCAAATAGCTGGATTGGGTATTGGTGACAAGGGGGCCGATCTATTCATTTATCTATATACTAGGCGATGCGTCAGCAGTGTGCTGGTAGACCCAGACATTTTTCTAGGAGAGGTAACATAGCATGGAGGGAGCTAAAAACAAGGGGTCAGCAGTTTGGAGGTATTTCATGCTTGCTACTGCAACAACTTCTACGGCTACTTGGTATATCTGCGAAAGCAATGTTTTGAGGGGTGGCGGTAGCACTGCAAAATATCACACAACCAACTTAATCAAACACCTCCTGCTACAGAACATGATTCCCAGTCTCTTCCTCACAGGGAGGAATACATAAGATATAAGAGAAGATAAGATATACTATGTCAGCTTATTCATTTTACATTGGTATCGGATCAGTACTCGGCATTAGTCGATACCTAATTTGTATTAGGTTTAGTATTTGGTATTGTATTTGTATTGGTATCTGGACCGAAAAAGTCAGATCGGTGCATCCCTTCTTATGCTTACTGACCTTGATATCATGCCTCCTAAAGGGGGTTAAAAGATAGGATGGGCTGGGCTGGTTTGGCTGAGGGGAGGCAGTCCCATGACACTGATCTGGGGTCAGTATTGTGATTCTGCCTTACTGGCAGCCTTTAGCTGCGATAATCAACACTTAAGAATTATTATGGGCCAGTGTCACTGAACACTAATAAATAATAATTTTGCCAGTGACCTAAATTTGGTTGAGTACTGTGCATATTTTACAGCTGCTGACTCCAGGCCAGTATTGGTTTCATTCCCCCGCTGGGCATCTTGCAAGTGTAAATTCAGTCCTCTGAGATGCCCCTTTTTAATTCAAGCTTATCAGATACTACAGCTGATATTTACTTGCTATCATGACATATATTAATCCTGAAAGCTCCAGTGATGCAGTGGGTGTTGTTTTATCTCTTCTATATATCTATCAGTCTACCTACCGACCTATGTATTTATGTGTGCTTGGGTTGAAGGGTTGAGAATCGTGCCAAATGGGATAACACTGCCAGTGGACTACCAGGGGAGGAGCACAGGGGAAGCCTTCGTGCAGTTTGCCTCAAAGGAGATAGCAGAAAAGGCTCTGGGGAAACACAAGGAAAGAATAGGGCACAGGTGGGACAGACGGGAAAGGGACTGGGTTGGGCTTCTTTGTAGTATTTAATGGCTGGTCATATTAGAGTAATTATGGTAATAACGGGATGGGTTCTGTTGTGGTTGAATGATAAGCATGGGTTGGTGTGCTAGAATATTTATGACAATATAATGATAAAGTGGGTCAGTTCATTGGGCGGGTCATGTAACATTTATTAAAATGCTAATGGGATGGGTTTATGTATTGTAACAATGGTGACATGTTGAATAATGGGATGAAAGGTCATGTATCTAATCTGTAAATTAAAGGTAGTGTGAGTATTGTATGTAATAGAAAGTTTTACTTTTGGTCATTTAAGACCTGGGAGCTCTATTTAATTGTGTTAGAGCAACATTTGGCACTTCCTTTATATCCTTTCGTACATGTATCTCATTGATAATTTACTGTGGAAGAGGGGATTAAGCGTAGAAGTAAAGCAGAGCACAGTCAAGGCAGCCTCTGAAAGCATCAAATTTCTTTCTGCAGTTCTTAATCATTTAAATGATCAATACAACACCTAAAAGCCCTGTTAGGATTTTCTGTACTGTAAGTAACAAGAGGTGACGCTGGTGTAGAAGTCCTTTACCGCAGCCCTAAGCCCAGCTAATGATGAGACTTAAGGTTGTTCAGACACTCAGCAGCTCCAGGTTAAAAACTCCGTAGATACGTAGACCACTATTTAGAATATTTGTCTTTTGTGTGTTTATCTTCTCTCTGTGTAAATCACATCTATACATGTAACCCGAGTTAAGCCATTTCTACACCTTAACCCTCTCCTCTGCCCCCTCCACCCCATGGGCCTCTCACATTGCAGGTATATAGAGATTTTTAAGAGCAGTCGTAATGAGATCAAAGCCTACTATGAGCTTCCCCGGCGGGGGATGGGAGGCCAGAGACCAGGGCCCTACGATAGACCCGTGATGGGGGGCCCCAGAGGAGGGTTTTTTGGGCCTGGCCCTGGCCGCGGTGGGGCTCTGATGGACACCATGAGGAGTGGAGGGGGCTACGGAGGAGGTATGCAGAGTTTTGTATTTTTGCATACAGGAATATTTGGTGGCGGCAAAAGTGTGAGTGGTCAGTGCCGAAGACATTAGAACAGAACGATGGCTAGTACTCTGAGCAGCAAGGCAATACTCGTGTTGTTAAACATGTTGTCATTCTGCTGATTAAATCATGTGAAATAAAGGAGCAGCGAGAGGTACAAATCATCTCAAACTGAGATGCAGACAAGATTAAAATGTTAACCACATTTAAATAGCAGACTTAATCATTTGCCCAAAATGTTAACAGTTGACTGGTTAACCAGCAAGTCTCTGATTTAATATTTTATGCTATTTAATAATATTTATGCTTAACTTTGTCATATGTTTGAGGTAAACAAGCCTACCTCAAATGTATATTTCTTTATGATGGAATGAATATACTGTATTAATAAGTAAGTTGTGTGAAGTTTTTAAGTTTTATATTGGAAGAATAGCTCAAACTACTTGACATGTTATACAATTCACCAACAAAAATTGTTAAATCAATAACATAGATTTTGATAAATGTATTCTTCCTTTTTTTTTTACATAATAACTTAAGTTAACCATTAAACCTTTATAGTTCATTGACCCACACCATTATTTCCTTTTTCTGAGCGGAAAACAAAGTTTTACTCTCCCGTTGGCCTGTTATTCAGTCCTGGCATCTGAAGCAGTTGGGAGAATGAGCCCTGTGTGTGTGTGTGTGTTAAATTACAGTAAAAGTTTGCATTTCTTACACTGTGTTGGTGTCTGTGTCCAGGTTACAGTGGCTTTGACAGCTACAACGGTTTCAACAACTACTGTTTCGGCAACGGCATGTTTGATGAGCGAGTGAGAGGAGAGAGGGGAGGAAGAGGTAAAGTTCAAAATTCATTTACCTTCTAGAGTGTGGCATTTAGACAGTGCTGAGTTAACGCTTGAAAGCCTCAGTTTATACTTACAGTTCAGCATCCCTGTTGGCACAAACATTTCCCAATAAATGTTTCCATTTTTATCAATGTTTTTAACTTTTGGGGCAAATAAAAAACATCTCAAATTTTAATATTTACATTGTTGATATGAAAAAATAGAATTATGGTTGGGTGTTGTTAAGGAGTAGATTGTGACCATCTTGGTTTGTAGCATTAAAATTTCACAAATTTATCAAGAAATATTAATAACTTAAACACATCCACAGTATGTTTTTATTCTTATCTGTTGGTTTTTGTTTGATTATCATTAAATAAATGAAAAGTTGGAATGCATCAGATAACTTGTCTCTACTGCATTAGTGAAGGTAATTTTGTGGATGTATTTGTTTCGGCTCAGGCATGGGAGGCCACGGTTACAGTGGTCAAAGTGACAGTTGTTCAAGCTTCCACAGCGGCCATTTTGTCCATATGAGGGGTTTACCTTTCCGTGCCACAGAGGGAGACATCGCTAAAGTAAGAACACACACTGGGAATATTTGTTACTTCTGTTCTTACAATGGGACTGTGTGGGTGCTGTTTATAAAAGCACTGCATTTATTTTCCTCAAAAAGACATTAGAGGGAATTTAAAAAGCCTTAAATTCAATTAACAAAAATCTTAATATTTTCTCTTACCTGCCGTAGGAAGTTAAACTAAAAGTGAGATAGTGGATTGTATGCGCAGGAGGCTGTTCAGTCCTTTTATGTGGAGTTCAGTCAGCACTGTGACTGCTACAAGCTACAGTAGCTAGCTCAACTCATAATGGGCAAGTGTCAGTTTTAACAAAATCTTAACTAATAATTTTTAATTGGTTAATCCATCAATTTTCGATTGCATCGCCGAGTCTAGGTCTCATTAATATATAATGATTTATATCATTAGGAATTATTGATGTATACCTGTGGAGAAGTGCTGGAAAAATGTCATATTAATAAAAATATCTAGGCCGTAATGGTTTTCCATCATACTTTCATACTATAGATTGTATGTTTGTAAAACATGTATTAAATTCTTTGTGGTATTAAAAAGGTCTCAAACTTAACTTGGTAAACACTGTCTGTGGAGCCAGATCAAAACCCTGACTGTTAATGTAGATCCATGATGTGTCTGTGTTCCCTGTTTATGTTGTGTTGGTCAAGAAGCTCAATGCACTTCTGCATTTGAATAAAAGTCATGAAAAACAAAAAAATGTTATATATACCTGTGTATGTCTTTTTCTTCTTCATGTAGTTCTTCTCTCCTTTGAATCCACTGAGGGTCCACATTGATGTGGCTCCAAACGGCAAGTCGACTGGAGAAGCAGATGTGGAGTTTCGCTCCCATGAAGACGCTGTGGCAGCCATGTCCAAAGACAAGAACCACATGCGTATGTCCTCTTTTTTTCTTTCCCCCCCATGCAGCTTGTCTGTCCTCGGGACGCCACTTTTTCACGCTACATTACACTATGTTGTAACACAAAACTACTTGTTGACTAAGAGCAGAGGGGTACATCAGTTATATCTACAGAGGCAGAGTAGCCCAACAGATAAGCTGCCAGGGTTTTGGATGGTTGACTCTGTGTGTCAGGTTTAACGTTGGAATTTATTTCTAAAGACCAAAAAGAAAACATTATTCTGGTAGTAAGCCGAGAACAAATTAAACCTTTTGCTCAGGAAGTACACCTTTTAAAACAAATCAGAACACTGTGAAATAAAAAGTATTTTTCATGAGAGTATTTGAGATCATTGAGATTATATTTAAGTAACTGGATGGATTTCATTTACGTTAAACAGCAGAGGAAACACAGGTTCTTCAGTGTGAATGATGGATTAATGTTTTCTCCACAGAGCATCGCTATATTGAGCTGTTTCTTAACTCAACAGCCAGTGGGGCAACCGACATGAGTGAGTTTTCTTGAACGTTTCTGATAAATAAAGTTTGGTAACTCCTTTGTTTTGCTGATCACCATTTTCAAATCTATTAATATCTTCAAAAAATCATATTGAGAAGCCTTGGGTGCAGTTATTGGTGTGACTGGATATTCCTTATGCTGTAGTTTAACTAACAATGTGTTTTTTACACTGACCTGTCTTTTCAAAACCGTTTCAGGTCGTGGTGGAGGTGGAGGCGGTTACTACAGTAACTCAGGAGGGGGCGGAGGGTCACGGAGTAGTGGGCTGCGAGGTGCATACTGATGATGTCATCCCACCTCTTCTAATCCATCCTGATGTTTCTGTCTCGCATCTCTATGGGCCACATTTACTCGATTAGCATTTCTAAGCAGGAAAGCTGATGTGAAGTCGCTCATTTGTTCTTTTTATTGTGTGGTTGTACTGAAACGTCACTTCACGTACTAGAACAGAACAGATATGACCTTAACAAGCACTATTGTCAGTACACCATTCCTAAAAGCTTGCAAAGAACAAAACAATGTGTCAGTACTAAAATGTTGGCGCTGTTGTAGGTGCTAAACGTGGCTGACTGGTCATATTGGAGATTTCTTGTTTATCTTATATGTTTAAGAACAGTTGGGATGTTGTAATCTCGTTTTTCATGGTTCACATTGAAAATAGTGATCTAATTAAGAGAAAACACATTTATTCTTTTTCCCCCAGAGTTTTGAATGGCACTTAAAGGTCAGTAACTGAATGTCTTAACAGTTTATAGTGACTTCATTTGGAAACACTTTAATTCACTTTGTTTCACAGCTCACTGTTTGTAGGAGATCTAAGTCGGTACAGATGCAGCAGGGATACAGAGCTTCATGGGACACAGATTAACAGCTGTGAGAGTAGTTTGATACATGAGCAAAGAATGATTTTGTTTGGCACTGTCAGGACTGAGCATGGTCACTTTGAATCTCATCACGTGATATTAAGTCTGCTTTGACTTGTTGATGTGGGTGATGCTCTTTAGGAGGTAGAGCAGTGAGAAGCAACGTCAAAACATTACTTTGTAAAAAGTTCAGATTTAAAAAAAAAAAAAAAAAACAGTTTTAAAGTTCTTTGTTTATTCTGGTTTTAATTTATTTTCGGCAGAACACTTTTCCAGTAAAACACTGATTCAAAGTGGATTTGAGATTAGCTTTCCTGCTTTGAAATGTTTTATAAATGTGAGCCAGTGTGTTTTTTATGAATGTTTTCACAATTCATTACAGAATTTAAAACTAAGTTGAATATTATATTCCACTCCGAGTGGAAGTAAAAGAAAGTCTCTATATTTGAGCTGTAAAATAGCTTATGCAGCTGTTGTACATTTTGCCGAATAAATTTTATATTTAATTCTCTCTCGGACTCTGACATCACTTTTTGAAGAGGTTGTGGTTGCTAATACATCTGAATTAACAAAGAAAAATTAATTTAATCCTCTGTTTATCAGCCGTGTTGCAGAAACAAACTAAATCAGTGGACACAGGAAAAAGAAAAATGGTGCAAAAACAGGATCATCAGTAACCTACATTAAAATGACGGTAAACAACATGAAGGATCCTGTTTGTAACTTGATTTAATCAAACTGCTACACAGTTAAGGCAACATATTGTTGGCAATAGAGTTAATATTAAACTGGCAGGATTTAGTAAGCTAAAGGGCCACAGTGATTATCAACATCATTTATATACAACATACAGTGGTATCAACACTGTACAAGTCCCATTGAAAGCTGGGAGATATATAACTGTACAAAAAATGCTTCAGGCCTGGGTGCAATTCACATTAGCCTGTAGTACATAATGATATGATAAATTGGTGAGTTTTTAAATATTTTAAACAAGAAAAAAAACTTCTTTAACTGAATCCAGGCTTGTTTTCTCTCTTCATGGGAATGAATACTTCCAGTTCTTGGAATAGTCTCAGGTTGTAAACATTGTATATAAGTACAAAACCAGAATGTGCAGTGTAACTCGTATCATAACCCGTGATACAAACACAACACATGTCTAAATGTTGATTAAAAAACAAGGAACAACAATGGTTTAGAGTATCAAAGTATCCCTCTCAGGAATGGAGCAGCAGTAAAATGTGGTTCCTCTGTAATTGTCATTGTGTGAACAGATAACAACTAACTTGAAGTGAAAACTCAAACAAGGTCCAAGGTCTGAAATTAAGCTGTATCACAGGCGATGTAGGATTGGCAAAGTGTTCAAACATACATTGTGGCTGTGCTGTAAGAAGTGTTTAACACTCAAGTCTGTTCTTAACAACCACTAACTATGATGTAAGCTAGCCATCAGTGGTTCAACAACCAGTTAGAAAGACTGACACTGCTTTAAATCGGTTCCTGGAGATGCCAGCGCTGTTTCTCTTCTTGGTCCTTGACGCAGCATCCACTGCATTAGTTTCTCCAGCAAACAGTGACATGTGCCTTTTACCTAGGCTGCTTGCTTGGCTCGTATAGGCTAGTGTTGCCACTAAATATTTTATTTTAAATTCGACAGAAATACTGTCTGTAGAAATAAAGGGCTCCTTTTGGCAACATGAGAAAGTAATATTAATTGCATTTACACAAGCACAAATGGCACCAACAAAAAACAGGCTTTCAGTTCCTTTAAAAGTCACGGCCCCATGAGGAACTACTCCAGTGTCTGCAGAGCAAAATCAGCATGGAGTAGTGAATGTTCCTGGAATTAATTTCACACCGCAAATCTGACCAGCAGGCCTTTTTCATTCTGCCGTGATTCCTCCCTCTGAACAGATGATGGCAGGTACAAAAAAGAAACCACTTATTTTATGGTATAGTTCTGATCTCCTCACAGAAAACTAAACGGAAATATATCCAATTTATATTTACGGTTAGTGTCCAGTAAAGTTGATTCAACCTGTCAAGTTGACTTTGCTGTTTTGTGCCTGTGTAAATGCAGCCTTAAACTTTGTGTTCATTTCACTCCACCTCTGCTTTGAAATTGAAAACAGCACAGTAACAAGACCACCATACTGTATGTGTACATGACATAATCTCATCTGTTTCCCTATACACTTACTGTATACAGTTTGAGGCTTGACACATAGAACTAGAGGGTTGCTTTAGAAAAAGACATCTTTGAACTGCAGCAGTGCTCATTACAGTGCTGTTTCACTTTCAGTTCATAGTCAAGTTGTTCCTTCTTTCTTAACTGAACTCTCTCCTCCTCCTAAACGTTATAGGACATTTGACCAAAACCTGACCTGCTGATCGGTGTCAGTGTGTGCAAATATCACCTTGATACAGTCGTACATGTAGTGCCTTTTAGTCAGTTTGGTGCTTTCTAAATCTGGCCAGTACACACAACTGTATTGACCCAAAGGGAACTACAGAAAAGAAAGACTCTCTGTCTGATTACAAGAGAATATGTTTGAATGTTTCATACTGCAGAGCATCTGCAAAAGAACTAGTGACCTCAAACAAAGACGCATCACAATGACACCCCTCATTTTGTCTGTGAGGGACTTAAAAACTGAATTAAGACAAATCAAATGTACTAAATGGTCATGCACACGGGCCATTTCTAGCAGCAAACACTTCGAGATATGTCAGGAGACGGATCTTATCTCCTACAGGACTGAAGGGTGTGGGAATTTCGGGTCTGATCTGTGATAGTTTGAAGCAGTCACAACAGCAGTGTGGCGATCCTTCAAGCCGGATTGGAGGAGCATCGTTGGAGGAGGAGGGCATGGCAGGTGTCACAGACTCTGACTGGTTTTGGCGATGCGGGCAGAGGGAGCTCATTGTCAGAGCAGCTGTTACAGAAAATCTCCCCACAGTTCCTACAGTGGTGCTGGAGAGGGAGACAGAGAGAGTTAGAACCAAAACAACTAAATATTGTTGTGTAGCGTTGGGGTTACAGGTGCACATTAGCTACTGTACCAATCCATTTCAGGACTGACCTTTCGCCTTGAGATGGAGAACTCCTTCTCACACAGTTTGCAGTGGCTGGCATCCTTGTCCTTCAACCAAACCTGACCCCCCTGCAACAACACGGGCTTTAACTTCACATCACAACACAACATTCCTAATCCACAACTAGCCTTGCTGATGACTAGCTTTTTTTTTTCTCTGAAGCTATTTTACTAATATCTTACCTAACTAAACATCTCAGTGATCGAGAGGGTTTAGATGCTATTTTTATCTCTGTTACTCACTGATACTTTACCTGAAGAGCTTTGTTGGCTTCTTTGATGTCCTCAATCTTCATTTTGGATCTGATGACAAAAAGAATAAGACTAGGTTAATGGACTCCATAAAATCAACCACCAGAGGTTATACATTTATTTTGTCATCTTCACTTTTGAAAAAAAAAACCTTTTAGGAGGGTTTCAGAAGCTTGTCTGACTTTCTGTAGAACTGTGAACTCTACTTGTTGGTAAGAATGTAAATTAAGTGATTTTTGTAAATGAGCTACAACATGCAAAAACACTTATAACGCATAATCCTCCATGCTCTTTTTTAAAACATATTCGTTACCTGAAATCCATATGATGATGAAAACAACAGTACTCTTATTATAAACATGTTTTTTAAAGGGTACACACACAAAGAACCCAACATCATAAAAATGCACATTAGACATTACATTTGGGTTTAGAGCCTATTCTTAGTCTTCATAACCTGCCTGTAAAAACAGCTTGATTATGGTGCAGACATTTTTAATTAAAGCATACATACTCGCTTAGTTTAGAGCCTAGTTCCTCGAGAGCTTTTTCTTGATCCTCACAGATGGTCTTTAGCTGAATGTTTTCATCCTGGAGACGATGGAACTCCTGTCAAAATAATAAAATCACAAACGCTCACAACAGAGGACACGCATCAGATCAAATAAGATCGTATTCTGCAAATGCTGGGTCACACGCACAAAGCTGTATGTACATGTAATAAAACACATTGTACAATATCATACAGTCTTTTTTTAACCTTTTTTAGCCCATTGATCTGCAGCGCCTCTGTGCTGAGCTGAGCCACGGTGTCCCTCTCTCTGTCTAGATCATTCTGTAACGTCTGCCTCCACTCCCTCTCTATCTTCAGGTCCGTCTCCAGCTGCTGGCTACAGACATGTACGTACAACACCAATAACAAGAATAACCATGACCGACAAGAGAAAGGAATATACTGAGTAACAGATTATATTAGAACATTTTAAATTTCTGTCTTGCTTTTTCAATTGATAGTCAACAAAAAATGTGCACTGGAAGTCTGATGTCTCCTGAGCAATTAGGTAAACAAACTTTTGCTGAGGCAGATGTGCAATGCTTTAATCTTTTTTATTATGATTTAGTGGTCCTAGATTCATTAGGGCTGTGACTGTTTCTGTTCAAGGGAGAGAAGTATGAACACCAACAGCTAGCTTACCATACTACACAGCTAAAGGTGTAAATCCTATGTTGTGTGTCTCTCTCTGAGCTCCACAGCTTTTCTAGATTAAGTATTTGTATGTGCATGAGTCTACCAGTCATTCTGTCTTTGGAAGGATTTTGCTTACAGTTGCCTTTCTCTGTGTTCGATCTGCCGCTGCAGACTGTCGGCCTTGTTGGCAAAGTCCAACTTGAAGCGTCTGGTTCCCTCCTCGGCCGAGGTGCGGTGCCTCTCTGCCTCCTGTAATCTGTACCATTATAACCAGGGACAAACTCAGGACCATGGAGAGAAAAAACTGGGGAGGAGGATGGAGGGAAGGGGAGAAAAGAACAGAGGAAAACAGGAGGGAGGATGCCGGATAAGGACAAGGGAGGTTGTTGACTGAGGTTTCTGAGGATGGAAGGCTGAAGATAAATGAAGAAGGTTGGGGTGACGGAAGGCGTTGTAATTTGCACTGTTACAACACCAGAGGGTAAAACTGAAAAGAGTGCAGTGAGAGTTGAATTAAGGGGTTCAAAACAGAACAGTAAGGAGTACAAAGGGGATGAAAACAAAGATACGATGTGATGAAACGAGTGAAAACTGCCTCAAAGTAACTGAATGGGGGGAAAAAAGAACAGAGGATAGCTAACTGAAGGCAGCATTTTAGCGGTCAGTCACAGTGTGCTGGAGAGCAGCATTACCACACAGTCTTTTCCATATTCACATCATTTTGAAAAAAAATGCCAATTTCATTGTTTTTTTAGCCAATATTTTACATGGAGGAAACTTTCATGGCATTTTTTCACAATATGAGGATTTTGATAAAGCTTTAGATCTTGTTGATCTCAGATATAATGAAGAGGATAAACCCACAACACCCTGACATACAGCCACTGCGGATTTAGAGTTTTATTACTCCTTAAAATCACATAATAAATGTTCCTGTGTCCACCTGTTAACAGCACTGTACGTGCCCAAAAACTCAAACCACACCCAACAATTTCAAAACATCTAACTTTATTGATCATGGCATTAAAAGACAGTAGTTGTGAGTTTTCAACAGCTGTACTGAGTGATTATTCTTCTACAAACTGAGAGGAGTTACAGTACTATGACCATGGAGTTAGAACAGGTAGAATGATAACTTCCTTCACACAAGTCAATAAATATGCCAAGACGAGACACAACAACACATTCATGTTCCCTTGTTCTTTACACTTTCCTCAGTTCTGTCTATTCTGCAGAAACAAAGCGCATGGATTGAGCTAAAGCTCCTGAGCTGTTCACATCTGCAAAAACTTGACTTCCATTTAGGCGAATCTGCAGGAGGATGAAGAGCAAGAAGGAGACTGAAATCACTCCCTTTTTACTTTTGCGTGCACTATATTTACCCTCCGCCATTTTATTAGAGTTCCCTGAATTCTGAGTGAGAAATGTATCCTCTATACAGAGTTCCTAAACAAGTCCATACTTTTCCAGACTTCTCTCTACATTTTTAGACCATATTTGACATCTGAGTACAAAGCGCTAGATGTTTATTCTGTAAATAAATGGTTTTAAACATTCTGTTACATTCTGACTATGTATGCTATTGTGTTGTGCCAAATAATTGCCAGAAGATTGTAGCAAGGTACTGTAGCTTATACAAATCAATTAACACCAAACCAGCTGGACGGTCACGGTCAAACATCTCTGCCCAAACAGGAAGTAAACTAACTGGTGCTACCTATACTTGTATTATTTTCCCTTAACATATTGAATAAATATTATTATATTTTGTTTCTCCCATATTTTTTTAATCTCTTTATAAATGACCACTGAAAATTTATTGAAAAAAATTAAATCATTTAATTTTCACGGAGCCTGTGCAACCTTTTTTATTCCCTGTTTACATGGAAACAACAAACGCAGCCATAAATGTATGGTTTCCTTACACAGAAACTATTATCCATTTACTTTTGATGACCACATCACTGTATAACTCAATGTTCAGACAAGCTTAATATGTGGTTATTTGTGATGCTATGTGTATATGTAATTCAAAGATACTGCCACATTTTCTTTCAAAGTAATTTGGTCACGGATGTCTGAATTTGGTAGTTATACAGCATTTGGGGCAGAGCTGACGACATTAAGCTTGCTGTAGCCCGCACTTTCCTCACACAGTGGTGAACATTTTGGCTGCGCTGGCTGCCTGCTCAAACGTCAGATCAATTTTTTTATTTTTAGAACATCTGAATTTTATATTTTAGAAAACAGAACAGGGGCAACACTCTCAATTTTTTTCCATACTTATCCCGACCTGAAATTTACAAATATCAAATACATACTTTTCCCATACTGTGATAGAACCCAGTCTACACAGCGCCCTCATAAACTCCAACAAACAAAAACAGTAGAGTCCATGTACAATGCTAACAATCTCACAATGCGATCCGTAACATTTTATCTCACCATGGTTCATAATTGTCTGCACTGCTCACTATAGAATAAACTACTGAGTGTGTACTATCAATATAGTAGTGAGAGTGAACAAGGGACTGATTTTAGACACAGCGAGGGTTATCACAGCCAGTCAGAAGCAGGTCAGGAGGCGCAACACATGCAGAGCAAATTGGCAAGAAATTAAAAGCAGGAGGCTGTCGGACTAAACATCTGCAGCGAACACTGCTGGCTGCCTGTGAGGAAACGCTGGCAGCTGTAGAAACAAGTTTGTCTATGTTATATGATAATTTCCCTGATCCTACTTGTGCTCTACACCTAAACTGTGTCGATAGCAATAAGGTAAAAAGACAGCCAAGCACAGAATCACAAGTTACTCTCTGCGGAGACACATTTTTTGGGAGGAGTGTGTTTAGCTATTTAGATATAGATTACATATATTAACAGAAAGGAGAACTTCAGTAAAGTAAAATGTGTAAAACAAATCTGTCATATAAAATGACCGTTTTTGGTTAAAATTGAAAAAATAACTGGAATATTCTTCTGTAAACAAGAGGCATCAATTTGTTGTTTTCCATAATTTTGGCAACTACTCATCCCACTTCTATTGTGCATTTTGGTAGACATATAATGACATTTTACAGTTTAAACTGGAGCACAATATCTTAAATTCTTTTCCATTATTAATGGCACAGTGAATCACTAATCAAATATATATATGTCAACACAAAACAAAACAGCACAAAAAGTACAAAAAAAATCTTAATAACGATGGAAAGAGTTTTGCTTTTTAAAAAGGGAAACTGAATGTTTAGCCCTTCCTCCCCACCCCAATAATGCACATACAGTCCTTAATTACTACACTGACTCAACTGTGTTAACTAGTGGCTCTGGGTGTTGCCAGATAAAACAGTTGTGATTTGAGCGGGGAAGCCCACTATAATCATTCTAACTTAATCTGTAGTCACATCTTAGAACCCAAACATCAAATATCTTCCTGTCAGTGTCACTGCATATAAACTGACTACTGGAGACATGAAGAATGCGTGGCGTGTGCGTGTGTGTGTGTGTGTGTGTGAGCGAGCACGACTGTGAGTGAACAGACAAAGTAGTGTATGATTAATGCAAAAGGTTTCTTTAGTATATATTAAAGTATAACTGATGTAATATTCAGACAGTTCTCTGACCAGCAAAACCAGGACATTCAAAGTAAACGAATCTTCGTTTAGCACAAACCCAGCAAAGTCTGAGGAGGATTTAACTAAACATCATGAAACATGTTGCAGTGGTCTGTATGAATCCCAACACTCTGCTAGTGATGATCATGTTCCAGTGACTAAAGCACAAAACCACGAGGTCTAGTCTCACCCGATTCTCTGGCTGCTCTCAGGCCTAAAACCCTCTGAATATTGTGTGCAAAAAACAGGAATGTTCCTTTAAGTTAAGTCCATTTATTCATTCGGTCATAAGCAATCGTGTGTCTGCATGTGCAAGCATATGTGCGTGTTTGTCCTCAGAAGGAGATGTCCTTGACTAGCTTGTATTGGTGCTCTGTGTCTGTGCTGGCACACTTAACAAATGACATAGCAAGCGTTCTGGTCTGACTTAGCAGATCCTTATCACTGCACAGAGGAGCAGGGATAAAATCAGGGGGCGGGGGATCGACATGTGGAGGTTTCAAGGGAGCAAAATGGATAGATGGATGGATGATTGGATGGATGGTATAAAAGAGACGAACAGAAGGGAGGAAAGAAAGAAAGGAAGGAAGGAAGAAAGGATGTCAATACATCAGTATTCTAAGTGGCCCCAGTTACACTGAACACTTTAAGTGACTTTTAACATCACAAGCACAGCAGTACGAATAAATAAAAGGCATTAAAGAAATCTGATTTCAGGCTGCCAGGTTCCCACTGTCATCAGATTTCTTCAGTCTGGATATATTCCCCTCCACAGTAAGCATATGAGTAATGAGAAAAGGTGCAGAGGAGATGCAGGGAAAGGCAATGTGCACAGACAGATGAATACAGCTAGAGCAGACAAAAACTGGAATTTTCAGGCTAAGTGTGCACAGAACTATACTATCAACACAAGAAATTTAAGCCTGGAAAGCACAAACAGCACTTATCACTATTTCAATCTCTCTAAAGTAGACAACCTGTTAAATTCTCTAATTAGCTAGTAAATATTTAAATTTTAACAGTATCTCTGATCCGAACATGTTTAACTTCTTCATTAGACGTTCAAAACTCCAGCTGAAAATAACAAGTGTAACCGGGGTCTGCGTCCAACCAGGCTACATACACCTTTAGAGCAGCAAAACAACCAATCGCAAATACGATGGAACAGATTTAAACCAATGGGAGAGGGGAAGGGAGGGATGTTGACTGGTAAACGATGGGGTGAGGAGGGGTAAGGCATCAATGACCAGCAGGTCTCATAATGTCCGATGCACATATGGAGCATTATAGGCAGATTGTGCTGCAGTATTGATCAGGAGGACTTAGCATGCATGAAAATATCAGCAGTGTCATTTATTAGACATGATATATTAAGGATTGCAGGGTTTCCCCAAGGAAATTGTTTAGAAAATCCTGACATCTGGTCTTGTAATCAATGTAATCAATTTAGTTAGTAGGTGATGGCCTAAACAACAGCATTCCATGTACAATAGGGCATCAGCTCTTTTGTCCTTAAGGTTAATATTTTATTTCATAGACATATTAAATTTAATGACAACATGATGTAAGTGGAGGTGGTCTATATTTCAGGCTTTCTGACACGCTGCATTGTGCCTGTGACTTCAAACATATTTTTGATGGATTTAGTATAATTTATAAAATTTACCCTGCAAGTCAAACGCAAACCCATATTGGATCTATCAAGTAAAAGCTTTGTATCTCACATTTTGGCAATATTGGCACCAAGAAGAAGCCTTTTAGATAATGCAAAATCACAACTAAAACATGATATATTTAAGTTTTTCAAAATAACAATGTGCAATTTTGCTCTAACTTTGAACGGTATGTTTATAATGTTAGATTTAACATGAAATCACTTTTTACTGCACCCATTTGCCATTTTGTAAAAAAGGCTGTGGGGTGCCTACACTGAATTTAGACCCCTGCTAACATGAAAAGGAATGAATGCACGTTTATTAAACAAAACCTTAGACATCTTCAGGGAAAATATAAGAGGGAGCTATTTGACATAACAAAGGCCGTGTATTTGATGACTGCGGCTATTGCTTAGACTGCCGTCCTCTAGCTCAGCTCAGCTGATGACAGAGACTTCCCGCGTTGCAGTGTCAGCTGACAACCTTAATCATATCACTACCATATATAAAGTATTATTACTTGATTATTGCCTCCTAACCAATTTCCTAGGGGAAACTTTGAAACAATGATGAGGAAGAAAACTCAAATCATTTTCACCATGTTTTTCCTCAGTTCTCCTCCAGCTTTGCACAAGACCACCCAGAACTCTAGGCACTTTTAACTAAATATTAAAATGAACATAAAATATCCATTTTTATAGATCATCTGGTCTAAAAAACATGATGTTTGGTACCTCGGGGCAGAGAACATCATTTTTGTTCAATGTTACAGTCAAAGCTGGAGTCTCAGGTACTTTAAACTCATATTGCCACAGTGGGATTATGTATGTTTTGGTAAATCAAATTTTAACAGAACAGCAGAGAACCTGGTTTAGATTGAAGGAAGGCCTGAGGAGACACATGGGAAAAAGTGATTTGCCAGTTTTGGTTAGTGCCTTTGTGCTGTGCCTTTGCAGGCAGTGTATCTCACCTTTGCTCCAGCTGCTTCATGGTGGCAGTGATCTGATTGGTCTTCTCCTCCAGACGACTGATCACATTGTTCTTCTTCTTCATCTCGTCATCGGACGACTAACAAATGAGAATTACCGGCTGTCAGAAGTAGTAGTAATAATTACTGTAGTGTATGGGATAAGAGAACAGGTGCAACCAGGTAAAGATGCGTGTGCTTGTACCTGCATCTTCTGGTACATTTCTACATTGATGGCTTTGACTTCATCCAGTTGGTGTCTCAGTCCAATCAGTGTGTCCTGTTGAAAGTGGTGGAAAGTAACTTAAGTACAATTTTGGTGTACTTTACTTGAGTATTTCTACACTGTGGTATTTGTACATTTACTTCAGTAAAGGTACTCCTTCCACCTCTTTCTTCCGATAAAAAACACAGATCCTGTATTGCCAGTCCTTTTCACACTGTTTCTTGTTTCACTGTAATTTAGTATGCTCTTCTTTCATTATTTTTTCATTATTCAATCATTATTAATTCACTCATTTAACAGCTTTATTTTGCGTGTGCTATTCATCATTTATTCACTGGGGGTCTTTTAACTCAGGACTAAATACAGACTGATAATTACTGGCCAGTTTTGGAGCTAAGTCGTATTTATGTAAATATATATGACATTTCAAGCTAAGAGCTACCTGTCAGCAAGCTGAAATATATCCGGGACAAACTGTATGTCGCAATGCACAATAGAAATATTCCATGTCACACACCCTGTAGTCCTGTGCAATAATGATGCTGACGTTACTCTCCAGTCTGACAGCTGATTCGCCAGATGTTGTCGGTAATGATCCCAGCAGCCTCCTTACAAAGCTGTGATGATGCTGCTGCCATGGTAGCTGTTGTTATCTCACGGCTTGGCTAAAATGTCAGCTGGTGGTGTTTATGTGGCAGAGTTCACATGTTGGTGGTGAGAGGCCTGACCGGCACAGGAGCTGGCAAGGGTATTACTGCTCCGTGTGAGCAAGTACGGGCTGGTGCTATATTTTTAGTTTTTTGCCCCCCAAAGGCCTTGTTATCATGTGCTGCCTCACTGGGAAGATGCTACGTCTTAAGAGCAACCGCATCATTTTTTAGGATCTTCATTTTTATTTTTGCATTGATTAAGCCTCTTTGAACATTGTTGATCTTCATGGCTTGTAATCTTTTGCAAACAAATCAGGAGTCAAAATGAAAAACACTGTAAATGTATGCTGACCTGTTTCTCATGAATGTCTTTCTCCAGAAGTTTCATGGCCAGCTCCATTTCCTGTTTCATCGACACCTGGACTACCAACTCATTCTCCACGTCCTAAAAATACACGTATACGTACATGGATATAATCTGTTATTACACTGTCACCTTGTATATTTTACACACATTTAATACACAGACATGGAGTCACAGTCTGACCTGTCTGAGCTGACACTCCTCCTTCAGTTGCCTTCGAGCTTCATTGTACATCTCATCCAAACCCTGACGCGATTGTTTGTATGTATCTCTCTCCACGGACACATCGCCTTGGGTTACCTGGATAAATCACATCAACAGGAAGAACGTGTCAGCCACATCAAGGATAATTTTTATCCATTTGTAGTAAGGATTGTTAAGAACTGTTGGAATATTAAGGGCCAGATCTACAGTTGTGGTTCCAGTTTGTGACCATGTATATCATGTATACCTCTAATTGTTGTTGTGTCTTCAGCAGAATAAGGCTGTTATCACTCCTCAGCTGCTGGTTTTCTTCCTGCAGTTTGATGATGTTGTTCTTGGCTATGGCTAACTGCACACACAAACACAGAATAATTCAGTTCATCGCTAAGAACAGTTTGACATTAATGATAACACCGGCGCTGTGATTTTATCTAAACATATTTGGCTACATCATCTTGTCAGATTCTATGAGTACTTGCTTCTCCACAAAAAAGACAAAGCAGGTTGGATCTGATTTAAATTATTATCCTTTAGTGACTTGTTCAACTCTGAGGTTTAAGTGCTGACTTTCACATTTAGCTTAAATCTAAAATGCAAATCTTTTGAGTGTGGGTCTCACCTCCTCTAGGAGTTTAGAGTTGGTCATCTGTAGACAGTGCACTCTGCCCTGAAGACCATTAACTGTGGAGCTAGACATACAATCACAAACAAACGCAGACATTATAATCAACTTCTGTTCATTATGGGTCTCACTGAATTTAGTGTGTCAACATTTTTTTCAGAATATGAGAATGTAATATTAGTTGTAGTGCACAATCCACAGCAGAGGTGTAAAAATGTGTAACATGACAGACTGACATACTTTTAATAGCACCAATACGGTAGTGCCGTAGATAGCTTTGCTTATGTTTAGAGGTTTGTTTGTAGCTCTTATCACAGCTGCAAAAGCTAAGAAAATATTCACTAAACCTATATTTCAATTTAAGGCAGCAGATCAATTCAGGTTCTTTTAAACAGTGAAAAAGAAGAATTGAAAGAGGAAATGTGACTGACAGTCTGCGCTTTAATGAAACTGTCACTAGGGACAGATGATACACAGCTGCACTTCTGAAACAACTAGACTGTTTCAAACATCAACTGACTGAACACATCTGCCCTTGACTCAAAGCAGCATAACACTACTCAGACATCAGACCAAACATCAGAACCAAAACATGTAAAGCAAAATGTGAGGCAGAAATAAAGTAGAAGGACTGCCTGTTCAATCTGGCTAATCAGCCAGTTTGTTTAGGTAGAAAATACACAGCATACACACAAATGTCTTACTTGAGTTGTCTGTTCAGTTCCTCTACATAGTTCTTCTGATCCAAGATGGATGCTATCTGGCTATTCCTGTTGCATTGGAAACAGACATGAACCAGAGTATCACATTTAGGGGGGCTTAAAGAGACCTGGTGTATTAAATAAAGTGGAGAGACAACAGAACACCATACCGCTCTTCACTTCTGTAATCATCAATGTCATTCTTCAAGTACATGGAGAAGTCGATCACCCCAACCTCGATTGAAAAAATAAAATAAATAAGCTCAGCTAATATCGCCCAAGAGGAAGCATATTCTGAAAAGCAATGCTTGCACAACCATTAATTTGATGAAATGAGTCACACCTTAAGTAGGAACCCACCAGAACATTCACGAGAATTAGGGATGTGTACAATTATGTGGTTACACAAATGAATACTTACACAAAATAATCAAAATGCTTAATGTAAAGGTGATAGTATACAATGAACATCCAATGGTAAGTGTGTCTGCATAACTAATAGCACTAATGTGTCTGTTAACCACACACATGCATAGAAACTACCGTAGTCCACCATGGTTACAGTCTAAAGATACCTTTACAGGGTAACTTTGGTATTTTTCAACCTTTCAACCTATATTCCCTATGTGAATAATTGGGACAACATCTTTTGAAATTGGTTCAGTATTGAGCGAGCGTGGTGCCGTCTGCAGCAGCGAAACAACATAATCCTTGCGGGCGATTGCGCCTCCTTATGTCAGTCAAGTCACACACTAACACAAACAACTAAAAGCAACAAAGTCACACAATAACACAAAGAAACTAACTGACCGAGACAGCAGTAGACAAGCAACTCCCGTGTTCTGCGAGGTAAAGTGTGGTGGTTTTAATGTTTAACGTTGGTGCTTTTTGTTAAACAAAAAGGATCTTACTCTTTAAAGAAAGGTCCATCTCTGTAGTGATCCTTTCCAAAATGTTGTCAGACAACTGTAATAACAATTTGGGCCACTCAATACTAGACCAATTTCAGAAAATGTCATCCCATTTAGTCACAAAATCATAGAAAAATAAGGTCCAAGTGGAAAATCCCGAAGTTAAAGAGTCAATGCATCATAAAAAGTAGCAGAGCTGAAACATAAGTGATTAATCAATTAGTCGATAGACAACAATTGGCAACTATTTTGATAAAGACCTTAGATAAAGAAGAATGTCACCTTTGGCTCTGGAAAGTTGTGCTGGGTATCTTTTCCACAACTTTTTGGCATTTTATAGTATAACATTTATTCAAAAAAAAGTGTGGGTTTTAATCTGCATCGATGGCTCACCTTGTGATCAGAGAATGACCGGATCTAAACAAACACAAGTCCACATTGCTTCACGTTACAAGGCTCAGTCAGGTGTGTGAACACGATCTGTATGATAGGGTGCTTGCATTGGTTTGCACTCAGGATAAAGTCTCCACCCATGCAGTGGAAACATGACACAACAACATCTGCTCTCCACCTGCCTGATGCCAAGATAAAGTGACGAAACAGACAATTCTGGTTTGCAAGTCTGCTTCCCCAAACTTGAGTCACTGAAGAAAAACTGGTTCATGTCAATGAATGTAGGCACAGGAAGTGGACATATTTTCTGCTTAGCATGGTGCAAGTAGGAATGTAGATCCAATCATAGAGAGAACAGAACGGAGAGAATATCGCAAACCAGCTGTGCATCAGCTGTAATGCAACCACATTAACAGATTTGTTTTAGACACCATACCCACATTAACACTACGCATTTGTTTGTTTAGTCTAGTGGTTACCTGAGAGTCCAGGTCCTCGCCTTTGACACACAGGTTAGCATCAATGACGTTCAGGCCCACCAGCAGGCCCACTATCACTGCTCCCTCCTCCTCCAGCATCAGCGCTGAATTCTCATAGAAATCACTGTGTGTTGTGGAAAATACAACATATTTTCAAACACTGAAGGGAGCTCCAGTAAAAGCAAAACTGGGAGTGGCTTTACTTTCATGCTTTAGCTCTGTAGTGTAGTTACTACAAGCTTTACTTTATGATATGAAATAATTATCTGGGTATTTGAGGTACTTACTATTAACTGCTGGATATGAGCACAGAATTATCTCAGAATACTTTATTATAATAAATGAATAAAATTATTGTTGTTATCTGAAATTTGTAAAACATGACTAACTTCATGGAATTAGTTGACAATAAGAAACATCTAGAATATCACTATCCTTAACCTTTAAGACCCTCATTTGTCAGTCAAGAATTGTTACGATTTCATTTTCATACCTAAAGGTATACTAAGTATATATACTAAGGTATATTTTTCTAAACAAGTCAAATGTACCTGTTGGTACACATCTACTTTGTGTGTGTCGCCATGTGTACATAAGTGGTTGTACCTGAGCAGGTCTTTTCTGCTGATGAGGAGTCGCAGGTAATCGGCCAGCCGCTTTTGCATGAGAGCCAGACGCAACCAAGCTCTAGCCCTGCCTAATGGAGTCCTGGAAAACACACACACAAAACACACACAGGTGATTAGATTAGATTTATAAGAGGTTTTGAGGGTATAAGGCTGGTGGTGCTGGGACATCTTTGTATCGGTCTTTGGCTTTGTTTAATGTTTAGATCTACTTCTCATTTGTGTTACTGAGTGTTTATTGTTGTAGACAGTTACACGGGCTAATCTAATTAACTGTTCCTTCTTTTCAAGACTGAATCCTCTGTGTCATCTCAGCAACTAAAACTGTGTTATCAAGCCCACAATCTAACTAAAACTATCTTAACTCTTGGGTTGTGTTGCTCTGCTACATGTCTGTTGGTCTGACTCAGCACCACCAAAGGAAACGGACTCTGTTCTCCATCTAACAACACATCTGTTCCCCATTTTGCTGCATCAGTCAAGACCTGAATATTACTCACTTGATTCTCTGTCTGGAAGCTCTACTGCATAGTGACTGATAACTGAATAACTAAGTAAAGCATGACATGCAAATCATGGTCATGAATGAGAGTGAGCTGGAGCCTGCTTACTATAACGACTGGAGGAAACTACCTCAATATTAATGTAGGCTGTTGAAGTTGGTATTTTACTTCCCACATTAGGCACTTTCAACACTCACATCTGTTATTTTAAGTCAGAATCATAGCTGTAGTCTTAACACTAAGTCTTATTAACGCTAATTGATTGTCAGATCTTTGGAAAACGTGCCTATACTGGCACTAACAGTTACACAGAGAAGAATAATAATAAGGAAGAATAGATACAGTGACATGGGGAGAAGTGACGCAGCAGCAAGAGGACAGGTGAAATCACAGTAAGGTATTTCCCTGCTCTGGCTCAGGCCACAGGCTCATGTTACAGGTGCATGTGAGTGTGTGGTTGTGTTGTGGCTCATGTTCCTCCAGCATGATGTTATGTTAGATTGTGTGTGAACACATGTATGTGTGTGTGTGTGTGTGTGTGTGTGTGTGTGTGTGTGTGTGTGTGTGTGCATAAAGGTAGTCCTTACTTAAGTCCAGGCAGGTCTCGCACAGAGGCTGAGATCTCTGCTGCTTCAGGACACAGTTTCTCCACCAGCTCCAGAGGACCCCACAGGGACTTGTTAAAGCCCAGAAAGGACTTTTTCACTGGAGTGAGAAAGAGGATGAGAGTCAGTCAGACACACACTGCTGTATGAAAATCTAGGAATGACATATTTAATGAGGGAGGCAAACATTTAAAACAGTCTCTCCTTCTTACCTCTGAGGCCATGTTTGAGGCAGTGCTCCATGACAACAAAGAACTGCTGGAGAGGTGGGTAGTCCGAGTCCAGTGTTCGTCCAAAGCTCAGAGCCGACTCGATCAGCCCTTTAATACTCAGCTTGGCCATGTTCAGCAGGTTGGCTCGCTCCATGGCCATGGGGTCCCGCAGGGCTGCAGGACAAAAGCAGCACACAAACACTTAACTAAAAATACACTTAAAATAGTCGCAGGGTATGGTCACACAATAATGTCATTTTATCATACAGAAATGTTCTAAAGTAATTAGATTTAGACCCAAATTTATTTGGGTACTTTGATGGTACAATACAACTGCATGGGCTACATAATAAAAACACAATGTTTAGAGAAATTCAATGCATTATTACTTATAGCATGGAAAAATTAAAGGGTAGTCCACTATCTCAGAAGTGCTAAGGATGAATTGATGAATGATAGAATAGCCTAATCATATCCAATCCAGTCATTAAACGTTACAAACACACTCAGTTTTCTGAGTCTCTATCTAAGGCATAATCAACCGAGTCCGCCAGGTCAATGTCTTACAACTTATCATTATCAGGGACATGCTTACTATAGGGACAGTAAAGCTACAGTAAATGTCACGCAAGTGCTTTGAAGGCAGAATCCACCCTAAAAATAGAATGTGTCAGTGAAGGCACAAGAAGAGCAACAGATAGTATGTAAGAAGCACCATTATCCATCAAGAGGAAGAAGGGTCCACCCTAACAGATCAGAATAAATACATAAAACAGTGATAATCAACCTGACAATTTGTCTTATTTTATGCTGTTCAGATAACATAACATAACTGTGTCCTACGTTGGCAGAGTGCCACTGTTGGTGCATCTGCACCTCCCACAGAGGTATGCTTTTAAGTGCTCTATATGTGGAACCTCTGGGTTAATGTGTAGCCAAACACCAGAACATTACAGAACAATGTCAGGTGAAGACATAGAGATGTTGCCAAGCAGTGCAGAAGAGTTTTAATTGCCCCTGCAGAGACTCTGACAAATCAACAGATTTCTTGTGAGCAGCAGCATGACTGGTGGGTGCCCCTGGGCAGGGAGCTCAAGAGTAAAAAACAGTAAGCATGTGTCACCATGTGACTTCTTCAAGGTACATCAAACGCTGGGGATATTGAAAAGCTACAACAACAACATCCTCCTCTGTTACAGTGGAGGATGTACCATCAAAGCATGAGAGCAGCACTGATCTATGAAAAATCAATTGGCAGCAACACAGGTCATATGAAATATGAAAGAGGGACGAATAAATGTACCAGCTGGGTGTGCCAGACTTGTACTTCTACACACACTAGCTTTACTGGCATGACATGCACATGTCTACATTGCCAAAGGAAGTGTGAAATAGAAACGTACATAAACAGAAGAATAGAGCTACATTAACTGGCTGAATGATTTATTGTTCCTGGTTGTCACATTTCCTCATGTCCCTGAAATAACCAGTTACTGGGTGTAATCAGACCTTACACACACACTTCACTCCTTTCATGAACCCCGCGCCCCCTGATGCTGATAATACTCCACCTTGGACGGTCCAGTCCCCGGGCAGAGACGTCCTGTGCTCCGACACTTTGGGCAGGACGTGAATGCTCCCTGAAATGGTCTCGGATGCTTTCCTGGCCAAAGCGAAGATAGGAGCCTGCCATCGCCCGTCTCCTCCACCACCACCTCCTCTCACCGTGCTGCTACTGTTAACGCTAGCTTTCTCCCCAACACCAGATTTCTCCTCCTGCAGCCTCAAAATGCCAAACACCTGCGCTTTCTCCTTGCTGCTGTCCGCTTCAGACAGAGCCAGGTCGTGCTCTGCGGGCGAAGCCATGTTCACGGACCTCTGAAATGATTATAGCCAGTGCTTGTCGGTGCGAAAACACACAAATTCATACGGTTTGCTCACCGTTAACGAGCTAGCCTTGATGTACAATTCACCCGGTGACCATTGTGACAACCGTGGCACAAAAATACCTGCGATACCACCGGCCAAAGCAATGACAGGGCTCGCTCGAGTCAACAACCAACCGTCGTCAACGTCCCCGGACTGTGAAGCGTAGGCGTCGGTCTACATGGTGGACGACGGGGGCGCGGACAGCTGCTCCGTTCATCGCGGCGTTGTAAAGATTTGTTTACACCCTGCAGACCTAACCGATAGTTGGCTACGGTCCCGCTGCACCCTCCGGAGGGGCGGTGTCAAAAGGCTCACAAGACACACAAAAGGCAGCACTACCGTTACGTAATGATTTTAGCGGCTGCTGTGTTGTGGACTTGCCGCCCTCTGCTGCTGGACGTGAGAACTGCACGGCCCCCCTCCAGGTAGAGGACCACAGATGGTACAGGACGTTACTTTGTGTGTGTGTGTGTGTGTGTGTGTGTGTGTGTGTGTGTGTGTGTGTGTGAGTGAGAGAGAGTGAGAGACAGGAGACAGATCCCAGCCTGATATTTACAGATGTGTAACTAAAATATGAGGCCACAGGGGTCAGTAATATTTCTGTAGTGGTGGAATGTAACTAAATAAATTTACACAGATGCTGTACTGAAGGTACTTTACTTGAGTACTTCCATTTTATGGTACTTTATTCTACTTCACAACAATTTATTACACTACATTATTTTGACAGTTACAGTTACCATACTTCAGATTTTACATGTAAACATGATCATCTTATACAAAATGATGATGCATTGTTATAGATTAAACCACCAAACAGTATGTAAAATAGTTAAACTTAGCTGCATGTCAAAGTAAAAATGCTACTTTCAGATTAATCAATAATCAATAATAGTAATACAATAATATCAAAGCTTAACATTCACATGATGACGTGATTTTCCTTTTGGTACATTTTGATAATAATATTAATGTACATTTTCAGTACTGTTCTTTTAGTTGTTACTGAGTATATTTACAATGTGGTATTGCTACTTTCATTTAAGTAAAGGATCTTAATACTTCTTCCACCACTGAATATCTGGTCATTTTGGGGGGGCTTTCATGACATTAAGAGGAGTTTACATTCTATGAGAAAAACCTATTACACATGTTTAATTTTTGTTAGTTTGATACATTTTAGGCAAAATATCATTATATTTAAATATCTTTAAATAATAATAATAATAAAAAGGGTATTTAGAATTTGCAACAACAATAACATACCCAGTGTAGAGACAGCTTTGAAAGGCTTGGGAGATACACAAAATATAATTAAACAGTTATATTAACAAATATAATTTTTTGATTTCTTTAAATACTCAAAAATATTCAGTTTGATTCGGTTTGGTTGGTGGCTTATCCATAATTTCTTAGGTGGGTGGGGTTCTGCTCGGGTAATTTGGACTCATGACCTCAGTATTTCCTGGCCACAGTCCTACTTTGACTGTAGTATGTTGAACCCACAGTGGAAAATTCTTAAACAACAATGTAGAATTCAGTAGAAGCATAACAGTGGAAACAATAAACACCCATACAGCCACCAGTAAAGAGGAGGAAGAAGTAGATGAAGAGAGTAAGGCTGAATAAACATGCTACCTGAAATTTATGGCTGTAACTAATGATTAATCGCTGATTATTTCCTCCATTATTCATTTAATTATTTTAGTATATAAAATATCATACATTTGGAAAAGGCCAAGATGACATCTTCAAATGTTTTGTCTGACCAGTAGTCTAAACCCAAAAAATATTCAGTTAACTTTTATAGAGGACTAAGAAACTATCAATATTCACATTTGTCAAAGCTGGAACCAGTTAATTTGTGACATGTTTTGCTTTGATAATTATAATTATTAATCCACTATCCAAATTATTGTGGAATACAATTAGAGCATCAAGAACTGTGTTTTTCTTAACCAAGCTGTGGCAACACATGAATAATTCATAACTTTTATTGTTTTCATGTATTATGCCAAAACGTGTCAGACTATAAAGGCCACCTCACTGTCTTGATTGATTGGTGATTTGTTTAAATGTGATCGGTTATTGTAAGCGTCATCTTCATTTAATCATTCACTGCCATTAAATTTTTACTATAAAGCACTTTGTGACCCCTCTTGTCTGTGAAAGGTGCTATATAAATAAAGTTTACTTACTTACTTACTATTATTCCTAAGGGAAACACATAGATTACTGTGTATCTTACTGTATATCTTTAAGGGTTAGAGTCAGAGTGGAAATGTGGATATTTCACCTTAATGTATTACAGCAGAAGTGAACTGCAGACAGGAGAGTTGCTTTTTGCTGCTTCTGCATACGTTTACGACTGGTGACTCTGGTGGCTCACTCTTGACTCATGGAAAGGTATTATCTGTAATGAGGTGAGTTTTATGAATCCACTGATTGATCTGGATCTGCTGTTCATAAGTTATTACAAGACCACTGTATGAGGTGTCAGTGGCGTTATCATCATGTAATAGAAATCAGGTCATTCATTCAAATAGCACCTGCCAACTTACCTTGACTGTATGCTAACCGCTCCATACTCTCACTGTGTGTGATCCCCCAGCGGTGGAGACTCTGAGGGGAGTACATGGTGTGGGACTCTCCTTTGCCTTGTTGCAACGAGGATGGTAAATCAAGCAGATCCCTGAGTCCTGAAGTGGCTCGCTGTAGGCTGGTTTCTGTTGAGCTGGAGCCACACAGTCAAGTTTCTTTGGAACCAGATGACCCTTCCCCCTGAACTGCCGTGGACTGTTTTGTCTTTTTCTAATATGGTATTTTCCAGTTTGGTCAGATTAGGTCACAGTCTCAGGGTGTGCTGGGCCTCTGCTGAGCTGAGCAGGACAGCCTGGGACAAAACAGACAGCGGAGACAGACCTAATAAGATCTTAGAAGCAGGAAGATAACAGAAGAGAGCGAAAACAAACGTCATCATCGACACACAGTGAATACAAATGCTTTTGGTATGCATGCTCTTGTTTTCTGTACACCAAACAAGGATAACATCCCTGGCAGGACTCATGCCAGGTACAGGTGGTACACAACCGCTGTACCACCAGGATGCCCAGATATGCACGATGTTGAGATGGATAAGAATCTTGAAAGACAACTAACCATTTACATTTTAAGCCTTGTTCCAGACGTATAATTGATGAATAAAACAAAACAAAATGGCTTCTCAGTCTGATTATCAGGCTACTACATTGCCTCAAAGTTTTATCCCTGTCTACAGTCTCTGTCACAGACAATTACATCTTTGCCTCCCATTCCTCCTCACCGATTCAAACAAACACCACTCACATCTACGCCACAGGATGAGACCTTTAACTGTCATAAATAATAAATGCCAAAAGGTTCTTCCCTCAGATAGTTTACTAAACGCTAACAAATCTTAATTTAGTGTGAAAATAGTACAGTCACCGAAAACTGACATTTTGTTTACCAAATAGAAGGAGCTTTACCTTTTTTCAAGTAGCTTATGAGGAATGAGTCCTGTGGGCCTCCACCTCACCATAATATGGCTGTAAAAGCCTCCAACCACACCAAGGGAAGAATGTTACATCCATTAAAACACACAACAAGAGAAAGTGTTGCAGCAGTAAACTGCATTACAAGCATTACTGATATTTCCTCTCTTGCTCTTATTCTCATCCTCTGTTTGCCACACTCTCTCTCTCTCTGTCTCTCTAATAGCTCAGGGCTGACCAGGGATCATATGACTTGCAGATCTGTACACTCCTTAGCTGCCTGTGTTAATTCTCTGAATGGCTGTTTCTCAGTCCAGTAAGCAGAGCATTCATAATCGGACTGCTGCTGCCTTGATAGTGATTTGCTTTTCTTTTGTTTTTTTTGTTTCTTTCTCTGTTGACCTGACTGTTTACTGCCTCACATGCAATTTCTCTGTATCTGTATGCCTTTACATGATTTTACAACTTGCTTAACTTGATGTCTTGTTTTATTCTGCTACCTGATGCGTAAGCTGGTCTTTCTGCAGGTTCGTTGGCCTGTGCTTTTGTGAGGCTTCTCATATAGTTTATAGGTAACTACCTTAAATACTGTACCACATGTATAAATTTAGAATTTAGTGTAATTTATTTAATAATTTCATCATTATGCAAGAGAAAAAATGAGGAAAAATGCATAACCATGTAAATATCTAGCATTCAGAATCTGATACGCCTTCATAGGAGTTCATTCTGATTTCACATCAGAAGAAGACATGATACTGGCTGTTTGTCTCTCTCCTCCTGCCCTCCATCCACTTTTCCTCCCCACTCTGTCTGCCTCGTCTCTCTGCTCTTCCATAATCTCTAAACCACACCTAAACAAACACACTGTTGAGAACCACTTCCGGGGTGGTGTGTTTGTGCCATATGACCATGTTAATCACTGTAGGAAGGAACACACCCTTCCACACGACCGACAGCTCGATGAACCAATCAATCGTCTTCAGTGGAACCTCTTCCCACCAACAGAGGTGTGATGCTGTTTCATCGTAGTAGCCAGCCTTTCATTCTGCAGCAGTTGTGCTATGCTCACAGATTCTGGTGATTTATTAGTCATTATTATTAGCAGGAAACAACAGTGCTCATACCGTCCTATAATAGAAGAAGAGATGAGGAGTACATTTTACAAACTACCATCAGAACAAATTTACTGTGTATGTGAGGGCAGTAATTATATCAACTCTACGTTTCACACATTTATCCCTTATGAACATGGACAGTATGTTATAATGTGATTATTGCATCTCACCTCAGGCCAGCAGAAGAAAGAGAGTTGATCCTTATTTCTGCAGCTTGTCCACACTCAGTAGTCGGGTCCAGAAAAAGGATAAGTCTATCCTCTGGTCCAGTGTGCAGAGTTCAGGATGGTCTTGATCTACGTCCTGGTAGATTATACAGTCCAAGCTTTAGAGTATCTTCTTTTACATATTCTTTCAAAACACATCTATCTATCTATCTATCTATCTATCTATCTACCTCTCTCTCTCTAATCTAACCTAACCTAACCTAGGTGCTGTGAGGCTGTTCTAAGCCGGCACACGCTCTGGAGACATCACTGACAGAAACCACAGCCATCACCCCACACAGCGCCCAATGACAAGAGAGCAGGAAGCCTGGGAGTGGGGGAGGGGTTTGGGGTAACACAGAGAGGAGAGGGAGAAAGGAAAGGGAAGTGAGAGTAGGGAGGAGGCTCGTAGGGGGGATATACATTGTGAGGAGGAGAGGAGAGGAAAGACATGATGGGTGGTGAGAGAGAGTGTTGATAGACAAAATAAAAAGACAGTAGGAAGATGCATTGACTTGTAGTCATTCATATGCCCCCACTCACACATCAGCATATTCCACTGTTTAAATGAATGAAGTACATAG